AAGTGTACACACTGGGGAAGAGATGGCATCTTCAGCAAATGGTGCTAAGAAAACTGTATATTCAGAAGTAGGAGAATGAAACTAGACCCCATACCTCACCATATTCCAAAATAAAAATGGATTAAAGAATTAAATATACATCCTGAAACAATAAAACTCTTTAAAGGAAACACAGGGGAAACACTCCAGTAAGTAGGAGTGGGTACAGACTGCATGAATATGACCCCCAAAGCACAGGCAAATAAAGGAATAATAAACAAATAGGATTATATCAAACTAAAAAGCTTCTGCACAGCAAAAGAAACAATCAACAGAGTGAAAAGACAACCAAAAGAGTGGGAGAAAATATTTGCAAAATATACATCTGACAAAGGATTAATATCCAGAATATACAAGGAACTCAAACAACTTTACAGCAAAAAACCCCAACTAATCCAATTAAAAAATGGGCAAAGGAGCTAAATAGGAATTCTGAAAGGAAGACATATAAATGACCAACAGACACATGAAAAAATGCTCAACATCACTCAGCATTTGGGAAATGCAAACCAAAACCACTTTGAGTTACCATCTTACTCCCGTTAGGATGGCTAATATCCAAAAGACCAAGAATGATAAAAATGCTGGTGAGGTTGTGGAGAAAGAGGAACTCTCATACACTGTTGGTGGGACTGCAGAATGGTGGGCAGCCTTTATAGAAAATGGTATGGAGATTCCTCAAACAATTACAGATAGATCTACCATATGACCCAGCTATCCCACTGCTGGGAACATACCCAGAGGAATGGAAATCATCATGCAGAAGGGATACCTGTATTCCAATGTTTTTTGTAGCACTATTTACAATAGCCAAGAGTTGGAATCAGCCCAAATGTCCATCATCAGATGAGTGAATAAGGAAACTGTGGCATATCTACACAATGGAATACCACTCTGCTATAAGAAAGAATGAAATACTACCATTCACAGCAACATGGATGGACTTAGAGAAAATTATATTAAGTGAAACAAGTCAGGCATAGAAAGAGAACTACCACATGTTCTCACTTATTTGTGGGAGCTAAAAATATATAAATAAATAAACACAAACAAATAAAGGGTGAGGGGAAAAGAAGACACAACAATCACAACAATTCCTTGAACTTGTTAAGTGAGCAGATAAGGTGTGGGTGGGGGGAGGAGGGGAGAGAAAAAGGGGGAAAAGAGAAACGGGTAAAGGGTCACAAAAAATCAATGACAATGTATATTGAGAAGTTAAAATAAAAAGGAAAAATTAATCTTTATTTTTTTATTTCAAAGCAAACATTCTCTTCTCCATCCAGATTCAGTAGTGTCCATAGCCCTAGGAAATATTGCGTGCTCTTGGCTCCTCCGCTCTGTTCCCTGCTAAGCACAGACATGATGTGAGAACTCAGAGGACCTGTTCTAAGTAAGCAGACTGACAATAGTACAGGTTGTTTTCTAGGAGGCTTATCTTCTCATTAGAGATCTGGTTCTGAGTGGTTTTGAAGGTATAATTCTTTTATTTGTTTTGATTCTAGGAATATGACAGTTTATATAAAGCTGTTACTGTACTGTGAAAAATCTAGACACAGTGAGAAGAATCACATTATTTTTTTTCTAAGAATGCAGAGGCATCTTCAAAGCACTTTTGCAGTTTTAACTTCCATTTTTAAATATGTCGATATTAGTAATTATAATAATAAAGTATTAGGTATCCATGGTTAATAATATTTGCTTACATTTGTTGAGTACTCTGTGTCAGATACTAAAACACATTCATTTAATCCTCTTCATTTAATCCTCATAAACACCTTAGGAGATACATATTATTACACTAATTTACAGGTGTGGAAAGTGACGCAAAGAGAGGTTAAGTGTATTAGTCAGTTTTGGTTGCTTATAACAAAATACCTGAAACTGGGTGATTTACAAGAAAAAACAAAATTAATTGCTTACAGTTTCTGAGGCTGGGAAGTCCAAAGTCCATCGGTGGTAGCAACAGTGACCGAGGGGTCTCACATTGCAAGATGGTGGAAGCAGAGAGTGCAGACTCCTCTTCCTTTAAAGCCCTCAGAACCATGCCCCTGACCACCATTTTTAATCCATTCACTACTGCACGGTCCTACAATCCAATTACCTCTTCAAGTACCTTTCAATTACCATAATAGGATTTCCCACCCTCTTAACAGTCACAGTGGGGGCTAAGTTGCTAATAAATAAAACTTGGGGGACACAATTCAAGCTTCAATGAGTTTTGGGGAGACATAATTCAATCCACTACACTAAGTAACTTGTCCAAAGTCACAAACTACTATTAGAGACTGAATTTGAACCTGAGTCTGATAGCAGAGTAGAAGTGCTTAACTATCTTCCTAGTTAATAAGTATATTCACCATGATAATAATGGTTAGGAGGTTATGGCAAAAAAGTGACAATTATTGCAATAATACGCTAAAGGCCAATTTTAAGCTAGTAGATGAGAATTAAAATTTTAATGTGAACTTATCATTGTGATATATGTGAAACAAAGTGTAAGTTACCAGTTTGCAGCCCAGACATGAGACCAGGTTAGAGAATGATTTTGACTCTCCTGCTTATCAAGGGATACAGAAATTTTGTGTTGAGCTGTCCGAGGTCTTCGGGGAACCACAACAAATAAATATCACAAAACTGAAGGATATAGGAAATGAACATTTTACATTAACTTTAATGTGTTGAAATTTGAAGGGATCGGCATAGAGATCTGATACAGAGAATCTTCTCAAATTATACTTAAAGACAATGGAAATGATATTACCGTTAATATTTTCTTACATACATTCTCAAAGCCATTAATATTCTGTATAACTTCATTCATTTAAAAATATTTATAGAGCCCCTACTATGTGCCAGGCACTGTTAGAAGTGCTGGGGATAGAATAATGAAAAAACAAAATGAAAGATTCTTGACCTGGCAGAGCTTAGGACCTTAGAGCTTTAGACCTGTAAAATTTGTGTAGTTAAGGATAAGGACTGTATTTTTTCATTATTGTATCATCATCATTCAGAATAGTGACTGGAATATAGTAAGGGCTCAATAAATATGTCTTATATAAATGAATCATCTTTGGCTAAGTATCTATGTGGGCATGCCTATGAACTTGTATGTACGCATTTTGTTAATGATGTAACTCTGTGATTACACAGAAAAATTTAATCAGGATAATGTCCTATTGATTTGTCCTAAAATTTCACTTTTTTAATTTTAATTAACGGTGACTTTACAAGTTAGTTTTATAATAAGCATCTAGTAAGTAATACATGTTAAAAAGTGGAGAAGTTATTTAAGAGATTTTTATCTTTTAAAAGATTTTTTTATTATTAAAAATTTCAAAAATAAGGAACATAGTATAATAAACCCACATGCACCGATCATCTTCCTGGCCAATTCTGTTTCATCACAGCTCCACCCACTCACCTGACCCCTGGTTATTTTAAAACAAACTCAGATACCATAGCATTTCATTGCCACAGTGATTTTTAAAAAGAAGAGTCTTTGTATAAGAATGCTTTAGAGTTTACAAAGCAACTACATGCATGTTATTTCTTTCCATTCTCATACTTTGTTTTTTTCCACTTTACTGAAAAGGAAGCGGGTTCAGAGAAATTAAATGACTGTTTTTTAGTCACACTCCTAATATAATTGTAGACAGAACTTGAACCCATTGCTTTTTTTCCTTTTTAATGTTAACTTTAGTGCTTAGTCCAGTGTATAATATTACAGGCCACTTCAAGTTGAGAGTAGGAACCTGGTTGTTAGAAGGAACCATAATCCTTCTAATTTTTACATATCCTAAGACCAGGTAGCAAGCAGGACATGAGCCTTCATCTCACTGGATGGATGGTGGCAGTTCTGATAGGGGAAAATCAGCACTGGTCTCTCTTTCCATAAAAGCCACTCTGGCTGCTGCAATGAACACAAAGCTCCTGGCTTTTGAGATATACTTTGAGGGTTGTATTCAAATACCATGTTTTTTTAACTTTCTGATATGAAAAAATGGTAAGCGTCTACGGATACCCTGTGCCTTGCTGATAAAGTAAGCATCAAGCTGAATCCTAATGGCTGGGCCCCAACAGAACACCGGAAAGTACCATTTTTCTCCAAAATTTACGCTTTATCAAGAGGACAGAGTATGTTCTCCTCCTATATAAAGGGGTCCTCAAAAAGGATTCATATTATTATCTTAAAGGCTAGTCTGGTGAAGCACTGGGAGTAGCGAAGGAAAAAAGCATCTGCTAACTGTGATTAGTTGTAAACACCACTGCACTCAGACAAGCCTGTACTATTATCTTTTAACTCACTTTTTGCACTAGCTTTTTTTGAAGTACCCTCCTATAGGTAAAATAAATGTTTTACACAAATTCTCATAAAGGAAAAGTGGACTATAACATTATAGTTTTATCAGAAATCAAAACTATGCTTTCTCTTCTGGACACTCAGCTTCAGCCATTTGGAGCCTTTGGTTTAACCCGTATCATTTACAGTGTAATGTGAAGATCAAATTATAACAGTATGGCAATAATAACACCGCTACTATTGATTAGGTAATCACCAGTTTGTGTCAGGCATTGTGCTAAGTGATTTACATCTTAATTCTCAAAACGACCCTCCCAGGTTAGCAATTTTATTCCTATTTTCCAGACGAGTAAAGCGAATTTCAGAGAAGTCACAGCCAGTTAGCGGCAGAGCTGAGGCTGGAATGGAGATGACTCCAAAGCTCTCCACACCAGGATGGTAGGAAAGGCGGTAAGCACAGGTTAAAAGAATGAAAACAACTAGGGGTGTAACTTCAACGAATAAGAACAACCAAGGGAGGGCGACAGGGCCACAGCACATGCGCCGAATCAAGCGCGTGGAAACGCCCCGAGGAGGCGGTGCCGGAAGCCAGGGCGCAGCTTCCGGTCCTCACGCCGGAAGTGGATCGTCAGTGCCGGGGCTGGCATTTGGCCAAAGAGGACGCTCTTGAGTTGGAGCTGTCGGTTGGCCGCGAGGTGTCTGGATCCTGCTTACCAAGGCATCTGCAAGTCGAAATGTCGCACCCGTCCCCCCAAGCTAAGCCCTCTAACCTCAGTAACCCCCGAGTCTTCTTTGACGTAGACATCGGAGGGGAGCGAGGTGAGCGGAGTCTGACGCTCGCGGAAGGGCCCCGGGAGGCGGGGGATCCCGGGATGCGGGGACCCCAAGGGTGGGGCGCGGTTCGGGCTGGGGGCTGTTTAGTGGCGTGGAGGGGACGGCTGCCTAGGCTGGGTCACTGGAACAAGCGCGGAGCCCGGGTGTCCAGGGTTAGGTCGAGCCAGCGCCCTTGTACCGATGCCATCGGTCCTGTGGAAGTTTCTGGTAATTTCTGGTTCGGGAATTGTGGCGGCCTTTAGGTTTCTCTCTCTTGAATTGGTTGTACTTCTCTGCTACCTTTGCACCGCCCCAAGCTTAAAATAAGGTTATTTTATAATTGCAGTGGGAGAGTTCAGAAAGCTCCTGGGAAATGCGTCTGCTGGGCTCCAGTAGTGCCATATCTTCTTCCACACGAAATAGACCAGCACCTACCATATTATTTATAAATTAAGGCGACTTATTTGCTTATTGCTTTTTTCCTTATTACTGATTTTTAATTCAGAGGTCTAGTCAGATAGGCAAACGATTTCTGTATTTTGACGTTGGGGAAATGGGCTCAAAGTAGCAATGTGGTTGCCTAGGTTACATAGCTCAGAAGTTCCTAAGGCCTTGTGAATTAGGGAGCATGTTGCTTTGTAATCGAATTGGTCTTGTTCTGGAAAATGTTAAAATTGCTGGCCAGGCAGTGTGTTTGAATGCATGTACAGGACACACACACACACACACACACACACACACACACACACACACACACACACACACACACACACACACACACACACACACACACACACACACACACACACACACACACACACACACACACACACACACACACACACACACACACACACACACACACACACACACGCTCTCTTACACATACATTCAGTTTGTTTTGGAACTAGTGCTAGGTTTATTTTCACCTGTCCTTGGAATTGTCTAGAAGAGGCACTTTTTCAGCTTTTGCTTTAGAGGCCACAGTAGAGTTTCCACACAGCACAAAGGCTGCAGGTAGGTATACATAAAACTTGGATGGCCTGACCAGTCGAAGGGTATATAATTTTCTCCTATTGATTACTTGGTGATTGGAAATAATGAGTACCTGTCGAGGAAATTATTCAGGATTTAAAACCGTTTGTACTTCATGGTGTCCCTTACATAGTGCTAATCTGCTGGCTACGGTAATTGATTATGACCTTTGTATGATGTTTCAAATTCATCTAGATACATGACACTTAACTATGGGTAGACTAAATTTGAATAGTAGAAAAATGGCAATAGGATCCAGCAATCCCACTACTGGGTATATATCCAAAGGAAATAAAATTAGTATGTTAGCACGTTGAAGAGATATGTGCCCTCCTATGTTCACTGCAGCATTATTCACGGTAGCTAAGATAATGGAATCAACCTGTGTCCATCAACTGATGAAAGGATAAAGAAAGGGGTGTGTATACACACATGAAATACTATTCAGCTTTAAAAAGGAAGGAAATCTGTCATTAGAGACAACGTGGGTGAACCTGGAGGACATTATGTTGAGTGAAATAAGCCAGGCACAGGAAGACAAAAATACAAATAACACATTGTTTCACTTCTATGTGGAATCTTTAAAGAAAAGTGAACTCACAGAAGTAGTAGATTGGTGGGTACCAGGGGCTGGGGAGAAATTGGTGAAAGGATACATAATTTCAACTAGAAAGGAGGAATAAGGAGGAATAAATTCCAGAGATTTATTGTATACATGGTGACTATGGCTAATAACAATGTGTTGTGTTCTTGAAATTGCAAAAGAAAAAATGACAGTAAAAGAGAACTTGGTAATTCATGAGTGATCTGTCATCATAATTGTACCAACTGTCCTTTTATCATTTGCTTGTGAGGTTGTTTTGCATACTGATAAGATTTGATTTTCTTTTCTTTTAGTTGGTCGAATTGTCTTAGAGTTGTTTGCAGACATTGTACCCAAAACTGCAGAAAATTTTCGTGCATTGTGTACAGGAGAAAAAGGCATTGGACCCACAACTGGGAAACCACTCCATTTCAAAGGATGCCCTTTCCATCGAAGTATGTGTGAATTTTGTGAATCTGATTATTCTTCATATAAATAATTAAATCCTGTTCTGAGTTAAGGAAGAAAACACTAAGTAGGAGGTGAAGGTTAAAAAGAACTTTTAGTTTGCCAGAGGATCCTTTGACATAAAAACTTGATTTATTAATAAAAAATTAAAATTAATTTAAAAATATTTAAACTGTTTTCTTTTGTATTTAACAAAATATCAAAATATGCTAATAAAGTGTATGCAGAGAATAGTTAACATAGCAGGCCTGAGACTGCTATCCTTAGAAAGGTCTGCTTGCAAGGATAGCACTTGGCTAGAGTCTGGGAACTTGGCACTTGAACTAGTCCTTAAATTGTAAGGGTGATTTACTATGTCTTGACTGTAAGGGTGATTTACTGTGTCTTGACTGTTTGTACATACATGTGATTGATGCTGAACATATGCTTTCTTTTTGGGAATATGGAATTTTGGTACATGCTAGGCAGAGAATATCTATGTGATAAGCCCCCAATAAATACCTTGGGTGCTCAGTCTCTAATTGGCTTTTCTGGGCAGAAACATTGTTCACATGTTGCTGCATTTTCATTGCTAAGGGAAGTGTGTTTTCTGTGACCCTTCATGGGAAGAAAGAGCATAAGGAAGCCTGCACATGGATTCTTTCAAACTCTCCCTGTACCTTTTTCCCTTGTCATCTGGCTATGTGTCCTTACTGTTGCAATACAACCAAGAGCAGAACCCTACATATCTCTGAACATGGGGGCGGTCTTGGTAATCCTTGACACAAAGTGATAGTATTTGCTGAAGTATTTCCATTAGGTTGTAACATCTACTGGGAACAATTGGTCTTTATTCAGTAGACATTATTGAGTAACTAATATGTGCCAAGTGTTACAAGGATGAAAAAGAGTTGCTGTACTTATGGAGTTCATTGTTTGTTGGAAGACAGAACATTGTGATATATGTTTTAAAGTGTAGGTAAGGTGAAGATATTGTGGGAGGAAAATTAGGAGATCCAACTTTGGGGTTTCAGTGACAATTTTATAGGGTACCATTTGAACTAATCCTTTGAGTGTTAGTGGGGAGTCAAGCACTAACAGTAGGTTGGACTTCAGATTGTAAAAGGACTTAAGAGTTTCAAGTTGTGATGATGGGTAAGAAAAGACCAGCAGGAGAGTGACATGACTAGAGGCAAGCTTTAGGAAGTTGTCTTTGTCTTTATTATTACATATTCATTAGTTAACACTGCTGAACTCATCCATGTCTCAGTCACTAATAGCAATTTTCATTTTTTGTAGTTATTAAGAAATTTATGATTCAGGGTGGAGACTTCTCAAATCAGAATGGGACAGGTGGAGAAAGTATATATGGTGAAAAATTTGAAGATGAAAGTTTCTACTATAAGGTACAGTAGAGAAAATGCATTTATTGCAGATAAAAAAACTTGTTGGATTAATACACCAAAAAAAGTCTCAAGTGTGCTTAGATTCTCTTATAAAAGGAATCATATTTGTAAATATGTACCTTTAATATGGAAAGTTTTCATCTAGTAATGATTTTATTTGGCAAAAATACTGTAGTTATTTTCAGTGTGATCCAGTTTTTAACATGCTTCAGTTAAGCCAGCGAGTTTTTAAGTGCGACCACCGTGTGGCAAAATTGTTTCCAGGTAAAATGTTCTCATTATCGGAAGGATGGTAACTTATGCATCTTTATCCTTGAATTTGAAGAGCAACAAAACCATCGCTAATATCCAGGATGTCAGGGGATTTGCAAACTAGAGGATATGGTTAATGTTCAAGCTCCTAAAGGACATTAGTGGTGCCTGTGCCTTCTTATCTTCATTGTCCCAAGATGTAATCGGGGTATATTGCATCATTCAAGTTATAAGAATGGACATGTAAGTACAAAAGTAAAGTGGTATCTTTGGATATGAGCAAGGTAATTAGGATAATTTGAAAAGAATGTTGTCAATCTTATAAACAGTATTTATTGACTACAGCTATATGCTCCATACTCACTGGCACCAAAAGGTTATAAAAATGAAAGTCTCAATGACAAGGAATTTATAAACTTACCATGGAAACAAGATTAAAACACATGGGACAACTGGAGAATAATATAGTAATATGCAAATTGATGCTAAATTGATTGAATATACTTGCTTGTATAACACTGATAGTATATGCTTTCTGTGTATACTATAAGAGAAAAGTGTGATTTATATGGTTCAAATTATTTGGGAAGACACTGAGGAGGAATGGGTACTTTAGCTATGCAAACTAAGCTTCACAAGGAGTCTGAAATTTGGTTAGGCAGGAACTAAAGTACAGATGCAAAATTGAAGAAGGGATGTGGGTGAGGAAAGACAAAAGCAATGGGAAGCTGAGGAAATAAGGTTGACATTCTAGTTAGTATTGTGGGAAAAGCACCAAACAAAGGAAGTTACCAAAAGGATGAAAACTAAGAAAGGGGGCCTATAGAAAGGACACATGTCTTATTTGTTGTCTTCTACAAACTTGAAAGCTGTATTCAATTCAGATTGGAGGGTTAAAGGGCATTTTAAGTGGGGAGACTAACATGAGAGTTATAATGCATGCACCAACAGGAATAAGTAGAAAAATGAAGAAGTTTGTTTCACAGAACCTTGGAACAGTTGATGCCAAGGTAGAATTTTGATTTCAAGCTTACACAGCAATTTCTTTTGAGCACTCTAAAGAGGTGATTCACCTGGGATGAAAGGCAGAAGATTTGGATTCTTCTGAGATTATGAAACTACCTGTTTGAATGTCTTGTCTAAATTCAGTATCCCTTTACTGTCCCAGTTTATTGATTCATAAAGGAAGAATCATAATATAGGCGCATTTATGAATGTGCGAAGACTGTTCAGGTCTTTTCAGAAAAAAAGAGCATACGTCATAAAAAGGACAAAGTACTGTATATTACTAGATTTCGTTAATGTGGCATCTTCATCTTAGAGATGAAGTATAAGCATCTCCAGATGGCCAATTTAGAAGTAAGCCCATGCCCCACTATTGTTTTTGTTGTCTTATTTGGTTTTGTAAGCTTTTTTTTTAAAGTTTAAAAAGTGATTAAGTACCCCATGTTTTGTGAATTAAAGGTTGCAATTTATACAAAGTAAAATTAAAGTAAAAAAGTAAAGTTTGATTTAAATGGTAGCATAGTCCTCCCCAGTTTTATGTGAATGGTCAATAAAAGAACAATCTAGAGCAATACCTCTAACCTTGGTTTTCTTTTAATGACTTTTATTTCTACAGCATGATCGTGAGGGTTTATTGAGCATGGCAAATGCAGGCTGCAATACAAATGGTTCTCAGTTCTTTATTACAACAGTTCCAACTCCTCATTTGGATGGGAAACATGTGGTGTTTGGCCAAGTAATTAAAGGGATAGGTGTGGCAAGGATACTGGAAAATGTAGAAGTGAAAGGTGAAAAACCTGCCAAGGTAAGTGAAAAGTTATAAATACACTATTATCTTAGTTGCTATTTTAAAGAAATATAAGTAAAAGGATCAGGTGATTAATAGCTGGAAAGATGTTTAGATGAACCTAGATCTGTCACTTTTTCTTTGAAACTTTTCTATAATGAGAAGGAAGGTAAGGATAGTTTTGAAGGAGATTTTTATTCTTATTTCAACTTCAGTGTTGGTGATCTTTGCTAGATTACTGAAATCTTCCTATACCTGCTCAACTTTTGAGTCGGTATGTATACTAGTCCAAAGTAGAAAGAGGGCAGCCAACCAAGAATCTTGTTTGGACTGTGCCGTTTAACTAGAGGTTTGACCTTGATCTTGTTACTTAGCTTTTCTTGGCCTGTTTCCTCATTCTATATAAATTACTTAAGGTTTTGACTAGATAATCTCTGGAGAGGATTGTGTTCTAAAGTCTGTCAATCAAAGTGACCATACTACTACCCAACCTAAGTGACAGGGTTATGAGTGGGAAATTGGAAACTCAGTTACCTGTCGGAGGTAGGCTGTCACTCAGTGTATGAAGGGAATAGTAGTAAGCTGTGGTAAACTGAAAGCTTATGCCTCACCTAAAGACAGTTACATAGAGAATGATAAAAATTTTCAACATATTTTGTGTTCACTGAGCTCTTGAATAGTAATAAAATACTTAAGTAGTGATGTTATACTCTTATTAGTTGGAATGTATATAAAGGGCATTATTGCAATCATAGAATATAGATGAACCTCCTAACTTAAATACCTGTGACTTGAACTGTGTTGCACATGACCTCCCGCTGTGTAGCTTTTGAACCCAGACTATTTTTTAAATTTCTCATTAATATGGTAGCACACTTCTACAATTTAGGATTATTTTTGCAGTTGTGTGTTATTGCAGAATGTGGAGAATTGAAGGAAGGGGATGATTGGGGAATATTCCCAAAAGATGGCTCTGGTGATAGTCATCCAGATTTCCCTGAGGATGCAGATATAGATTTAAAAGATGTAAGTACTTTCAGATTAGTCAAACTTTAATAACTTTAATAAATAAAAAATTTATTACAAAAATTTGAGCTTTTGAATCAATCTGTCATAATGATAGAACCTAGCATTAAACCACATTACTTACTAAAGTCCACCATATTTGTGTTCTTTTTATACAGGTAGATAAAATTTTATTAATAACAGAAGACTTAAAAAACATTGGAAATACTTTTTTCAAATCCCAGAACTGGGAGATGGCCATTAAAAAATATGCAAAAGTTTTAAGGTAATATAATATTTTTTAATAAATTATCTTTAAGAATTTATAAATTGACTTATAAATTGAAATTCAGAATTGCTCATTATATTTTTGGCAAATTACTTGTGGGATAACCAGGTGTGTTGAAATAGTTGCATTTCTTTTGTTGCCCCAGATTGTTTTGAAAAATTTTAAAATGCAGGAAAGTTGAAAGAACAGTAAGTACATGATTACTCATATACCTATATGTACATTCACCAATTTTTGATTTGCACTATTTTTGTTTTTGCAGAATTATTTCAAAAGGAAGTTGCAGATACAATGATACTTTATCCCTAAATATTTCAACATGTATTTCCTAAGAAGCAAAAATGTTTTATATAGACTCAACACCATTAAAATGCCGCCAAAATAGTATTGTACAAAATATATAATCCATATTCAAATTTCCCTAATTGTTTCAAAATCATTTTTTTATTAAAAAAAAATTTTTTTTTGCTGCACAAGTTATTTTAATTATAAACTAATAAAAGTCTACATTAAATTCAATTAAATCTTATAAACTAACCACTGATGAGAATATACAAAAACTAAAAAAATTAAAAAATTCAGGGTCCAAACCAAGATCATGAATTGTATTATTTTGTTGTAATCTCTCTTTAGTGTCCTCTAATCATTAATGGCCCCTATCTCCTCCTGTGTTTCTTTATTCATTTGCATTTTTGTGGAATTCAAATTAGTTGTCTGATAAAATACTATCTGTTTGTTTGACTGTTTCCTTAAGATTAGTTTGAGATTAAATATTTTGGTGAGAGGACTTATGTGGGTGGTGGTGTATTACCAATGATATCACATCCCAATGGCACATGTCAGTTTGGCCTATTTAGAGTGTTGGCACTTGGTTAAAGTGATGTCAGCCAGATGCATCTGTTATAAAAGTACCTTTTCCCCTTTGTAAATAATTAGTCTGTGAGGTAATACTGTGACTGTCTTGGCCCCAACAACCTTTCACACAATGGTTTTAGCATCATTGAAGATTCTTGTCTGAATTAGTTACTACATTGATAGTTGCAGAATTATACTTTTCTAATTCTATCATTCTACAGTTTTTTTTTTTTTTGTATTTTGTCTTTTTCCGTGTCCGGCAACGGATCGCAACCCTCAGTGTTGCCCCCGTACCGGACCGGGGACCGGCAATGGGATCGCAACCCTCGGTGTTGCTCCCGCGCCTCGCTCAGCCAGTGAGCGGGAACCGGTCTGTACGTGGGATCCGAACCCTCGGGCGGGAGCGCCGCCACGCTTCCCAAGCGGCGCACTTATCCAGTGCGCCACCGGGCCGGCCCCCATTCTACAGTTAATTAGCTGGCATTCTTTTGTTTGCAAGAGCCCCCCCCCCCCCTTTTTTTAGTATCACTATAGACCTATGGATTTTTATCAGTTCAATTTGTTAATATACGATTACCATCATATTTTTTTTTGATGCCCTGGGGGTTCCAGATTTGTCCAGTGGAAGCCCCCTTTCCTTTTGACATGTTCCTATTCTGTAAGCACTTGCTTGCTTTCTGGCACAAGATGTTCCAGGCTCATCTTATACTTACCTCCTTCCAGAGAAAGGAAACTTTAGAAACCAAATGCAGGGGGCCAGGTGTGCTCAGTTTCTGGGCCCCTTTCCATGGACAGTTCAAACTCAAGACTACAGGGTTCTTCTTCACCTTTCCCCATTAAATTCCCTTCTCCCATTATGAGAATCCTGGTTCCAAACAAAATTACAATGGAAGGTACTTAATGGGGATCTGAGTTTTTAAAATAGAAAAGTGTTACCAGTGCATAGTTAGACTTTGGAATTGCTCTTAAATTGACCTCTTTGAACACTTTGAGCAAAAAAGTTGGAACAAATTAAAACTAAAAAACCTTTTAAAGAAAAATAAGTATTTAATAAAGGAGTGTTAATATTAGCATTTGATGAGTTTTTTGTATCAGAAGTAACAAAAAACCCTTCTGACATGGTTGAAGCAGCAGGGTGAATCTTGTTTATGTGGCATTACATACTGCTTTTATTAATGTGTTCTCCAGATATTTGGATGGTTCAAAGGTTGTTATGGAGAATGCAGAAAGATCCAAGCTACAACCTGTAGCTTTAAGCTGTGTACTGAATATTGGTGCTTGTAAACTGAAGATGTCAGATTGGCAGGGAGCAATCGACAGTTGTTTGGAGGTAAGTCTGTCTGATTGGATTGTAATTTACCAAGTTGAACAAGAGCAGTTTTTATGCACATTAATAGATCTTATAGCATAGGATCGAATGAGACTTGATAAAACAATTTAAGTCATCTTGTCCGTAAATATTTTGAACCTTCAGTTCTTCCTTTCAATCCATTCATTTTGCTTATAACACTATGTCACTTAATATCTGTGAAGATCCTTTCCTTTTTTTCTTCAAAGCACATATATCACCTCATTTCTTCATTAAAGTGTACCTATGGTGTGCTAGGCATTGGAAGACAAAACCAAGAATGATTAAGAACATGGGTTTTGGAGTCAGACATGGTTTTTTAAATTAGGGTGCTGCCACTCATAAGCTTTGTGATCTTGGGTAAATTCCTAATTTTATAGTGTTAATTTCTTTATCTGTAAAATGCAAATAATACCTACCTCCTGGATGGTTATAAAAAAATATATAACATATGTAATGTATTTAGCATAGTACTTGGCACATTTTAAGCACATAATAGAGACTAGTTATTTTAATTAAAAGACAGATCCATGCCTTCAAGAAGCTTAATTGATTTGGCATCGAGGGGAGGTCAGTAGGGTCATTAAGATTTGTATAGGGGACTTCTGGTCAAGATGGCAGAATAGACGGTTGCCAGCGTCACTCTCTCCCACAAATCAACCAATTTACATCTATTAAAAAGCAACGACAGCCAAGCTGGGGCTGCTAGAGCTCAGGGGAAGAGGAGCAGAGACCTAGAGGTTGCATGAAGGTGGGAGAAACCATGATGAGAGAAAGAAAAGACTGCTCCTACCATTTTGAATCCCTGCTGCTTCAAGGCTGGAGCTGGTGAGCACACGGACCAAGAGGTGGCAAAAGCCACAGCTATGTCCTTACTATGAAATAGCTTGGAGTCAGTAGGGGAGAGGAGGGCCTTGGTGTCCCTCAGGCCAGCAGGACCACTAACAGGGTTCCCGTGGACCCACATAGGAGTGAGGAGACACAGCAACTGGAAAAAGGAGCCACTCAGAGGCCAGTGGGTCATCACAAGGGACTGGTGCATGGCCTGTCCCACGGGAAGTGTTTGGAATGTGGGCAGTAGGGGAGATGGGACCACTGGGAGAGCACTGGGGCACAGCAAGGACAGCTGATCTGCCCCCCAGTCAGTGCTGGACCACTCAGTGGAGACTGGTTAGGAATATAGAACTGCAGGGGGTTCAGTTTGCTGAAAAGACTCAGGTCCAGACCAGAGTTTCTACACAACCCAGGTGCTCCAGATCTCACGAGACCTGGAAGTACCTACAAAGTCAACCATTAAAACCTGAGCTGCACAAAAGGCCTTCCCCAGGCAATCAGCAGCAAAGCAGCAATTTAGCTCAACCACAGAGCTCAAGTGCTGGTCCCCACAGGATTTTCCTCCATTTTAGAAGTAAGCAAAGGACAACAAATTAGTTCCAGTACAGAGTTTAAGTAGGGGGAACAGCAAATAATCCAACACAGAACTGAAAGAAAGCAAAAAATACCCACAGAACAGAGACAAAGTTTGATATTAACTAATAAAAGTCTCACTTCACCAAAGAACACCTATAACACCTAGAAGGACTGGAAGTCCCCTGGGCCCCCAAGGCAGGGAGCGGGAAGGGCCTGGGGCCTCAGCCATGACCCCCAGCACGCACACCCAGCCTAGCAACAACCACAGAGCCACTGCAGGAAGTGCCCTGAGCTCCTGAGCTGGGTCCGTGGGGGACCAAGGGCCTTGGCACACCCCTCCAACACCTGCAACCAGCCAAGTAACAACCACTGTGCCACTGCAGGAAGCACCCTGAGCTCCAGAGCCAGGGCAGTGTGGGCTGAGGACTTTGGCCACACCCCTCTGACATCTGCATTCAGCCCAGCAATGATCAAGACACCACTGGAAGACCTCTGGTCTACCCTGCAGGAATGAGGGGCATGCCGTGGGCCTGAACCACACCCCTACTCCCTCCTCTTCCTGCCCTATTTCCTTCCCCTTTCCCTCTCCCCCTCCCATCCAACTGTTCCACAACAATGTAGAACTTACAAACAGATGAATCCAGGGACCGGCCCCTCTTCCCACAACCAGGCACACCACTGCTGCCACAAGGCCCTGCCAGGTTCCTGAGGCTTGGAGCCCAGGGACTTATCTGTCCTCCTGCAACCAGGCCTGCCGCCACTGTCACGGGGCTGCCCAGGGTCCTGAGGCATGGAGACGGTGACTGACCCCTCCTCCCACAACCAGGCAAGTAGCATGCCAAAAACAACGCTTCCATGTGGTTGGCCTGCTATAGCCATCATAATAGCCTCGGCTGCCACAAAAGTGGCTAGGCGCCACAGTCACTTGTGCGGATGGCCCACCAGCCACTTGTATGTATTGACACGAGGAGAGTCACCAGTGGAGACCAAGGAAAAGAAGAGGATGTCTTTGTCCATAAAGCCCATTCCAGAGTGATAGAAGCAGCATCTGCTCTATAATAATTGTGGGGGACCTTTACGCACCTCTCTCAGCACTGGACAGATCACTTAAGCAACAAATCAACAAAGTAACCATTACTCTTTCAGAAGGAGAGAAGAAATCTAGGGTTATCAGAGATGGGAGGGAGTGGGGGGTGGGAAGAGATTGGATAAGGAGCACAGCGGCATAAAGAATAAGTATGATTTGTAATATATATGCTAGTAATATTGATTTGATCAACATACGTCAACATTGAACCCCAAAATATATGTAAATCAATTATGATTAAATAAAAAAAAAATATTAAAAGAAAAAAAGGTTTGTATAGGGAAAGTGGGTACTATTGGAACACACAGAAAGGTCATCTATGTGAGGGCTATCAAGGTATACTGAGAAAGCTAGGAAGGACGGCATAATAGAGCAATTGTGACTCTTTTCCCTTTTCTGTAGTTTGAGAAATTGTCCAAACTAAACATTTTGTGTACTTTGCACATTAAACTATGTACATAGATTAGCTATGCTCAGAGCAAGTAGAACTAAAATGAGATCCCAATTTGCTAGGGTAGGTAGAATAAGGGATAAGAATATGCTCATATTTAAAAGGGAGCATATGGCAGAGGAAAAAAATTTTTTTTATACCCTGGATCTTTATGACTTTTGTAAGACAGATAATACACCCTCTTCAGTAAAAATCTGAATATTGGCCTTTAAAAGATGTTATGTAAAAAATATATATTATTTTAAAAATGTCTGTTTCAGGGGGGAGATGTGTTAAAAGTTATGTTTCTAAAAAACCTACATTTCAAGTAAAATAGTGTATGCATATTTTTATTCAAAATGGTTTCTTTAATATATATATTAGGGCCCAATCAGGAGACAGGAACTGCAGTGCTGAAGAGCACACTGGAACCTGGAAAAGAAACATCTTTGTCTTCCATGTCCATTCTGTGCCCTCTATTAATAAAACTTAAAATTGTGCCAGCTGGCAGAGGACAGCTATTTACAGGTTCCAGCTCAATTATCACTGAGCAGTGAAGGGTAGAATTGCAGCTGACAGGCAATAAGTTGAGATCTCGCACATACATTAATACTTAATACGTAGATATAAGTATTTTTATAATTTTTTTTATAGGCTCTTGAAATAGACCCATCAAATACCAAAGCCCTGTACCGCAGAGCTCAAGGATGGCAAGGATTAAAAGAATATGATCAAGCATTGGTAAATTTTGTTCCAAATGTTTAATTTTTTAAAATAGACAATCACCTTTATAAATCATATACCTAATTTTTCTTAAACGTTTTTTTCAATTAAAGGCTGATCTTAAGAAAGCTCAGGAGATAGCACCAGAAGATAAAGGTGAGTTGGAAGGCTTTTGCAGTGACAGTTCATTTTGTCCTTTAAAAATTTATCCTCATGAACCATTGTACACTTTGCCAGATATTATTTGTTCAACAAATGTTACAGCATGCCTGTCAGTAGGTCAGACATTGATCATATAGCAATGAACACCTGCCCTCAAAGAGCTTACATTCTAGTCCCCCTCAAGAATGTGTTAGTTTATCATGTGTCTGATTACTGTTTGTTCTATATATCATTTATATATCTATAAACCTGGTTCTGGTTGAAAGCGCAGTACTAAAAAATACAGTATTCATGCCAAATTTAACGTTTGGGATCATTCCTTGTACTGAATGTGGCCATAACCTAGTGTTCTAGCTACTGGATATAATGTTTCAGGAAGGCTATTTCAAAAATAAGCTTTTTTCTTTTCTCTTTTTTTTTTTTTGGTGGCTGGCTGGTATAGGGATTAAACCCTGGACCGTGGTGTTATCAGCACCATTTTCTAACCAACTGAGCTAACTGGCCAGCCCTTTTGTTTTTTAAATAAGCCAACTGTGCATAGTGACACTAGATCTAGATACTTAAAAATTATCTTTGGTTTCTTACTGCTAAAATAAAACAAGGGAGGCATTTACTGCCCTCTCTAATGGTGAGGGAGAAGGCAACTCTTTTATATAATTGAGTTCTCTCAGTTGACAGTTTTCTCAAGTTATGCTTCATGATTTTTGTTTTTGTGTGATTGCTCTTTCTTAAAAGAGTAGAATTTTCTGTTAATAGGGCTCAGTTATTTTATGGAGAAGAAAAGTTTTATCAGGAGGAGTTAACTATCATTAAAACTATGTGTTGGTCACTAATTTTTTGGATGTTTTGAAAAATAACTCATATTTCATATTTATTTTGCAGCTATCCAGGCGGAATTGCTGAAAGTCAAACAAAAGATAAAGGCACAGAAAGATAAAGAGAAGGCAGTATATGCAAAAATGTTTGCATAATGATTCAATTTTGCTTAAATATTATGCATTGATTGTATAAAGGCAATAAGAAAATGTAATTGTCTATTATACATGATCCATAATGTGTTTCCTTTGACACGTCAGTACCCCATTGTTCAAAGTTTAGCAATGCTGATGTGGGTTCGCTCTGAATAAAAGTGTTACAAAATACAGTGAGGTTGATTTTTTTTTTTTAAATGGCTATCTGCATTGTTCCCAAAGAATAGTGTCCGTCCTATTTTTAAAGTCCTAAAGACATATCTTGTTGAATAAATAGATGAAAGCTTAAATTTGTATATTTATTTTGTTCCTCTCGATGTTTTGATGTATCTGTGGTTGGTTTGTGCTTGTGTTTATACTTATAGATAATACATACATGTATATACCTGTTTAGGGGTTGGCAAACTTTCTGCAAAAGGCCAGATAGTAAAAGTTTTAGGTTTTGTGGACCGTGGACCACATAGTCTGTCACAACTACTCACCTCTGCAGTTATAACTTGAAATTAGCCTTAGACAATGCATAACCAATGGGCACTGCTTTGTTTCAATAAAACTTTATTCATTCGAGTGGGATGCTGACCCCTGGTCTAGAACATTCATTTTTAGACTCAAAGACTTAAATCTGGAAAGTCAAATGTAAAGTCCAACAGTGCATTTTGCTGTTGGGACTGAATCTTTGAAGAGCTAAGGAGATGCAACATAATGTATAGTTTTATTTAAAGGGAATATTCATAATTTTTTGTGGGACAATATTAGATATAAAATTTTTATTGCACTGATGAGTATTTTGTGAACATTCTGATCAACATTTTTTTTTGGCGGCTGGCCGGTTTGGGAATCTGAACCCGTGACCTTGGTATTACAAGGTTGTGCTCTAACTGAGCTAACCGGCCATCCAATGTAAGATATTTTGACATTCGTTAAGCTTTAAACATTTTAAAGTTAGCTTGCTATACATTTTAAAGAAACTAGCTATCAAATCTGCCTGTAAATGAAATCAGCTGCAGTTTACATTCCATTGTAAGCAGGTCCTCCTCCACCTTCAGGTACCACCCAGTTAATATTCTGACTTGGATCTTTGATGTCACATGTTTTACAATGCACACAGTTCTGAGCATTTATCTGTAACCTAAATCCATCACCTTGTTCCAAAGGTACAAATTCATAAACTCCTGTGAAGCAAAAATAAATAGTATTGAAGTACCTAACTTTGTAAGTAAATTCTTAAATTCAAAAGTAGAAATTGAAAATAGAAACAGCAGCTTTAGAAACCTATAAGGTGGTTTTCTAAATGTTTACCTGTAGAGAATATAAAGATTTTGGTGTGTGCTACTGCTGTTAGAATAAATTATTTGTACATAATAAAGGAGGAAGTATAGCAGTTTTGGGTTGCTAGTCTTACTAAAAAGGGTACTTAACACTTAGCAGTGTTTGAGTTCCATATATCTGATATAGCTGAAAAAACAAGGTAGATCCAGTCTTTACCCCCTCATTTGACATCCAGTTCCTACTTCTGTAATTTTAGTTGAAAGCTCAGCACTAAAAATATATAGTATTAATGGTGAATTTAAAGTTTGGGATCATTCCTTGAACTGAATGTGGCTATAACCTACTATTTTAAGTGTGTGCATGCATGCACACACACAAGCTGCCATTACAGAAATGAGTTTTTAAAAAGTCACACGATCATGCAAAGACAGGTATTTTTTTGTGTTCCCTAATCTTATCCTGGAGTCTGAGAGTAGACAAGGAAAGACTGTTTTGGAGAAATGCCATTTGAACTAGACTTAAAAATTCCCTACTTTTATTTTGACATTGCTAGTTAAAGAGTATGAATTTCCTAAAGGAAGCTGAAAGTAGGAGTCATTTACAACAATTTTCAAGCACTGGAAGGAGACATAGAAATAATTCCTTAAAATAATGGAATCATACTTCTGAAATGTTTAAATCAAATATTTGTATTAATATTTAGGAATGGATGGAATTACTGACCTGCAGGGCAGAATCGCTGCTCAGGCCCATCATATATCGACAGATTTCTATTTACAGGTATACTGTCATCCTTTAAGGTTAAATGTGCTGGCTGGTCATGTTCATGATTAGTACCACTTAGAGCCACAGATGATAAGAGGTCAAAACTGATCTGCCCATCGGGTTTTGGATAGTCAATAGGTGTGCAATCCTTGGCTGGCTTAAGCTGATCAGAATCAGAACCTTCGGTTTTGAGGAAGATGTTCAATAAAATAATTTTAAAGTATTTTCTTAAGCATATCTTTAAAAATTTGAAAATATTACACCAAAGAAATATGACTTTAGCCTTATAGCAGTACACAGTTCTTTCAAAAACAATGAATTTATAATTTCTCTAATAAAGCAACTATAAAACATTAAAGTAAAAGACAATGTCACTTTCCCCTCTAAATGGATCCCATACATGTATTTTTAGTGATTATAAACATTCATTCTCTCAAATATACTTGAATTACCTTTATGTTTAAGAGTCCATGGCTCCATTCCTCTAAATATCCAGTAAAATATTCCAGTGTAAATCATCCCTCCATATACACCCAATATTCCATGGCAGGATGGTCTTATATTTCTCACAGCATATAGCTCTTTCCATACCCATGATTTTTTCAAATTGTCCTCATATTCAGTTACGTGGATTCCTTTTATTAAAAACATGAAATGTTAAGTGTGAGAACAGCTTAAGGCATATAAAATACTGTATTGTTAAGGCATTTTGCTACTGAAATATGAGTGAATCTTATGTAATTTTTTAAACAGGTGGTCATGTTATGCGTACACACTGAAGAATCTTTCATGTATAAATGTTGCATCTTCCAAAAAGAACCATTTGGTAACATTGTTTGCTAATAAGCAGTAAAGCATTTGATTTCTTATAATGGTAGCATGGAAAATTAGCTTCAAAATTCAGTGTAACTGAGAAGGAAGCTTAAGATAAAAAGTTCATGCTACCTATAAAAGTGAAAATGTTATAATTTATCATTGAAACTACTTCTACCTGTTATGGGTTGAAATGTGTCACTGCAGAAATATATTTTGAAGTCCCAATCCCCAGTACCTCAACCTGTGACCTTATAATAGGGTGGTTGTAAATGTAATTAGAATGAGATCTACTGGAGTAGAATGGATCCCTAATCCAATATGACTATTGTCCTTATGAGTAGAGACCCACACACAGAAGACAGCCAGATGAAGATGTGGGCAGAGATTGGAGTTGTATTTCCACAAGCTAAGGAATGCCTAGGATTATCAGAAGCTGGGAAAGGCAAGAAAGGATGCATCTATAAAGACTTAACAGAGTATGGTCCTGCCAAAACTTTGATTTCTGGCTTCTAGCCTGCAGAACACAGAATAAAATTCTGTTGTTTTAAGCTACCTAGTTTGTGGTACTTTGTTACAGTAGCCTTAGGAAATCATAACTATACCCAAAACTTGGTACATGCATTTAATATTTAAGGGGACACATTGGTTCTTCTTATTGCCTTTTATTAATCCCATAGTGACTATTTTCCAGTTACTGTCTCCTGTTCTGGTTCCACTCTCTTTCCTTCAGGCATTAATCTTTAGTCTGGTGATATACTGGATCCCATACTATCTGTGTGTGGTACTATGTGTACATGATACAGTTAAAGTACGGCTGGTGGTCCAATAAGGAATGACAAAATCAGAAAAAAGTTCTACCCAACCACTGCACTCCGTCTTGCCCGTTCTGATCTCTATGAAGCACCCTTTTGCCTCTTCTGTGTTCTACCCTATCTCCTTCCACTCCTCTGTGCTGGGCCTCCATTCTTATGATGACATTTGAAGGCATAACCAGATTGCATACTTCTAACTAGTGGAACATTTCTTATCTGGTATTCTAAGCAATAAGGCTTATTTGCCAAATATCTATTGTGTTGGTACTATGCCCTAGGTGTTCAGGATTCATAGTGAACAAAGTCCCTGCTCTCTCAGGAGACAGACAAAGTTGATAAATTATATAGTATGCCAAAAGGTGGAAAATGCTATAGAAAAAACAGTCCAGGGGGATTGGGAGTGCTATGTGTGTTGCAAATTAATTGCTATGGTTAAGATACTGCCACCACAAGAGTAATATCTGAACAAAGGCAGAGAGTAAAGGAGGTAGCCATGATCAAAGACCATGAGATGGGAACATGCTTGGCATGTTCCAGGCACTGGAGAGAAGCTGGTGTGGCTAGAATGAAGTGTAACAAGAGATGAAGTTAGAGGGGTGGGAAAACTTTGGCTTCAAGAAAAAGTGAGAAACACTAGAGTGTTGTTTTAGATTAAGAGTTTACTGAGAAAAAAAAAAAAAGAGTTTACTGAGGTATAACTGCTGGCTATTCCTTTTTAGCACAGCAGAAGGGTCATAAGCCCGTGCTTGCAAAGTTGCTAAAACATGGTACTGATTCTGCCTTCTGCAAAGCTGTTGTATTTCGACCTAAAGATACTTCAGTATTTGTAAGGTATCTTACTGTGTATATTACATGTATGCAATGTAAGTACAGTACTGCTGAATTTGAAATAGTTTCTAAGTAGGTGGGACACCACTCGTACTTTTGATGTGAAGAAAAAGAACACTGCTGTAAGATTCAGACTGTAATAATTGGGAATAGGTCACATAGTTTTCTTTGTGTAGCACACATCTTAATACTTAGTATACAGGGACAGATGCAACTGGAATAGGCATAACCTGACAATTTTCTTTCCCATACCTTAAACAGAAATTTCTTACCTATCATCTTTGATTGGAGACTTTCACTGGTTAGTTGATTAAAAATAGACTCTGCTGCCACAATTCCACTTTTCATCGCTGTATGGGTACCTTTGATTTTGGGAACATTCATGAAACCGGGACTACAACCAATTAGTAAACCACCAGGAAAGGTGAGTTTTGGTATAGACTGAAAAGAAAGATTCAGAATACATTTGTTAGTTCAAATTAAACAAGCAAAACCGAATACTCCAAATCACAGCCTATTAAAGTCTTCTAGAGCTGTAGGGAAAGGTTGAAAATGAATACATGAAAATGAATACAGCAAAGGAAAAACCAGCAAGGACAGTTTTCTTTTTCCTCCCCCTTGGTTGGGGGGGAGGATTAGGAATAGTGAGGATTAGGACTATTGCTATTTTTCTGTTAGAGTTTTTCCTTTTCCCTAGACTGACCTCCACTGGGACAGATTTAAGATTGAAGCATCAGAATATTTTAAATGTTTTTATTTATACATATCCATGCCATAGTTAAAAATATTCTCTAAACCTGAATAACTGTTTTCTAAATTGTGATTTGCTTCTACATGTATTCTGGGTAATACATGATTTACAAAGGATAATATATACCCTTTTTATTTTAGTTTGATATCTAGGGATGGAAACCTGCAATCTTATCATGGCATCACTACAACTAGCTACTATCCTAAATAATATATTTTGATTAACTTAAAAATAAGGTGAATTTCCAAAATAAACTTTAAGACAGTTGTTTGGACCTCAGTATATATTTCTGATAAAAAACTGTGTAAAAAAAGGGTAGGGATATTTTTTGGTTTAGTTATTAAAAGTCTGTATAGCCCACAATGTAGTAGTTGAACCACAGACTGTTTGCCTGGGAAAATGTACTTTATAGTTTGAAAAGGGAAAAAAGAGAGAGCCAATGCTGAGTTGTACTTTCCTTGTTCTGTATTTTTTCTTCTCTAAGGGCTTCTTAAAGTAAGCCATGGTCTTTGTTGAGAACGTGATGGGGTGGTAAAAGTTTGGCTTATGGTGCTAAGAGAGACTCAGAGGAGAGAGGGCAAACAGGAAAACTATTGCCATCAGCTGCAAAAGAGACAAGGTGAGGGCCCTGTGGCCATAGCCACATCAATGACAGAATTTTTTTTTTCTTTTTTGCGGCTGGCCTTCACCTTGGTCTGACCAACTGAGCTAACCGGTCAGCCCTGACTGAATTCTAACTGTGAGAGAGAAGTGGAGAGAGGCAAAACTGGGGGGCAGGAGGAATGCCGACGAGAGAGAAGGGTCAGGGCCAGGTCCTTTCACAGGATATGTGGAGAATAACTTTGTGACTGGCTCTCAGACCAAACTCAGTATTAGAACCACCTAGATAAAATAACTAAATCAGGATCACAGCGCACAGAGACAGTGGGGACAAAGGGCTTTCTGGAATGCTACCAGATTAAAAACAGAGGTAATGGTCAGGGACTTGGATAATGACAATGCTCTTCTCAAATAAGGCTGTGGCCTTGATGACAATGTTCAAGAATCAGAAAAGTATAAAGTTGAATAAAAAGACAGACTGTTAGTGCAAGTTCTTTCAAAAGAGTGCTTAAATCCTAAGAATAAAAATGTTAAGGCCTAAGGAAACTGTGTGTGTGTTTAAGTCCTGTGTGGGCAGTGTTACCAGCACTTGGGCATCTTGTTAGGAAACTAGGGACCAAGGAAAAGCTGAGCTGAGAAATGTTGTATTCTGAGACATTCATTAAACTAAGGCTACAAATAATTAGATACCCACCAGGAAAGGTGAATTTTGTTATAGACTGAAGAAACAGAAAAAGTAGGACAATATTTCTTAGCTCAAAAGAAAATTGAATGTTCCAAATTATTGTCTATTAGGGTCTTCAAAAACTTACTGGAAATAAGTTTTTCAATCTTTGACTAAGACAGAAAATTCAGGTAAAAAGTGTGTGTGGCGGGTAGGGGGGTGTCATCATCTCTTCCTGCCAATATGCAAATCATCTGAGATGTTGATATGCACAAAGCAGATGTTTTTAAATAAAAATCTGTATGTACTATTGAATATACTAAAATCTTTATACTATAAATTACAAAGAGCAATTAGATTGACAGTAGGTATTATGGACATCACTCAAAGGAGTTTAATAGGTTTGAATATAGTTAGCAATTCAATAAATATTTCTAGCAAATGAATTACTACTCTAGAAACAAAAACAATCTCATGAGAAGTAATCTCATAACCGAACTTAGGAACCATGTTAGTTTAAGATGCTAGTGATTATGTTTATAATTTAGCTATTATTGTTACAGTAATAAAGTATTTAGAACTTTACTTTTAAGGTTAAGTCAACCCCCCCATTTTCCTATTATCTATTTATTACTTTTATAATAGATTTTTTAAAAAAAGAATAGATTCCTAGAATATTAGACAGAAGAAATTGTTTTTATTTTACAGATAATCCCTTAAAGCCAGAGAAGTTAAGTAACTTGCTCCAATTCATTTGGTATGTTTTAGAGTTGATTTTTAGATCATTTTATCAGTCTGATACTATTCACACAACAGAACTAACAGCTTTTATCACAGTTAGCTATTTAGGTCTTCATTGTTAAATTAATACATACTGAATATATTAACTACTTTTGATAAGATTTATTTTGAATATATACTAAAATAGGATAATAATTAAGGGTAAAAGCTTAACTGAGGCCTTCTAAAAGGCATGGATGTTACTAGGTAGTTGGGATGAATTAATTATGTTTGCCGAAAACTGAATGTGTGTTTGAATTTCCTGGCAGTTAAGGACTGAAGGAAAATATGTTTATTTTCACATAGCTTTTACTTTCTGCTTAAAAACAAACCAACAAACAAAAAGCCCATGAATTTATCTCTAGAGATCAATATATTCTTAACACTAAATTCATGGTGTAATTTAACTACTGTATGACACAGTTTTATAAACGCTAGGTACTTTGCTTAATTCCTTAAATTTTCTTCCTATGAATAATTTTATTCTTTATCTGAATTTGTTACATTTTCAATTCTAAATTTATAATACAGAAATAAGGAATTAAAAAGTTGGTGACTTGCTTAAAAAAAAAAGTTAGAAGATTTACCTGAAAGCCACCTTCATTGAGAGCTCTGGCTCCATATGCAATCCTTTTTCCACCTTCCAATGTTGGCTGAATGCTGGGATGGTGTTTCCACCTCTGGAACTCTCTAAATGGACTCATGTATGGATTTTGATAGTCGAGACCAACCTTAACATTTTAATATTTAAATTTGATATATTTATACAACTAGATTTTTTTTATGATTACAATAGATATTTATTTAAAGTAATACATCTACAGACCAAATAATTCTGAAGTTGTACATTTCAGGTTTAACCAACTTCATAAAAATACTTTGAGGATATAATTAAGTATTTTTATTTCAAACTAAATCAAGCTAAAATGTGAACAATATCAGAAAACATGTTAAATTTCTCGTACTCAATGTATATGGAGAAATATATGCAATAATGCAAATTTAAGTAAATAATTGTATAAAATCTGTTTGGAAAAGAAAGGGTAAACAAAAGGATACCACACATCTATAATCTGCAAAACTTAAAAAATTTAGAACGTGTTAACAAATCATTGTGCTCTGGAAATCAAAGTCTAAATTAGAAAAATATCTGTAGGAAAATGTCTTAGATTATTTCTCTACAAAAGGAGCTGTAAATATTCATTATTCATTTATTAATATCATCTTGAGAAATTAATAATTTGTAATACAGTACTATCACTTGGCAAAAATGAAGCAAAAGGAATCATGTGAAGTAAAAGAGGGGACAAGCAATATAGAAGGTTACATTTTACAAGGCATTATCAAAGTGCTGAAATTAATAACCATACCTTTTTCCTTCCATAAGATTAAGTCACTGGAATAACTACCCAAAGGTGATAAATTGATTAGTGTCTAATCATGACACTAAACTATGAAGTTGCCACCAATAACAAGGTACAAAAACTCTTTTATGTTATTTTTCCAAATTCTTTGAAATGTTCAAGACATAACTTACTGCAAAGATGCAGGTGGCCCCCCCCCCCAAAAAAAAACCAAAAAAAAAAACTGCTTGTGTTTAAAAAAAGTTATATGTTCAAACCCAGTGCTGATTTCACTTCCAATGACAGCATGCCATAGTGGAAAAATGGGCTTGAAGACAGATAGGTTCAGACGTGAATCTTGCCTCTGACATTTAATGTATGTATATGGGAAAGTTGTTTAACTTGTGTGGACATCACTTTTCTCGTCAGTAAAATAAGGATATACGTATTTAATAGGACTGTTATGAAACTTATTTATAAATCTCAGTAAAGCATCTAGCACAGTGCCGAGAATGTAGTAGCTACTATTACTATTGCTGTATGTGTTTGAGTAGATTGTCTATAATAACCATAAGAATTTTACATATTGATAAAATTAGAAAGTAAGCTTTAAATGAAAAGCATTTTACATTCTCCAGATTCAAATTTCTCATTTTGTAACACTGATGATCCTACACTCTAACAGTAGAATTTTTCATAACAAGGACATAACTTACCACCAAACCAAGAGCTACCAGGGGTTCACCTTCATTTAAGTGATAGAGGAAAGAGCCTCCATAAGTATGTCTGTCCAAGGGCCAACCAACAGTGTGATCTACTCTCCCAGGTTTCCACTTCTTTTCGTCAATAATCCATAACTAAAAAATAAACAAAAAAGTCACCACAGTGTTTAAATGTTTTTATATCACCACAATGCATAAAACTTACCAGGTTTTATGACTTACGAAAATTACAAGTGAAAAGCTATGAGAAACACACAAAAATTACTTCAAAAATCAAAGAAAATTTTATCCAAGTGCAGCATAATGAATCAGAGTAAAGAAACAGGTAGGAAAAGTTATGAACTCTTTAAGATATTAATTAGATTCTCAAATTTGTAAGACTAAAATGCAACTATAGGAAACACCCCTGAAAAGATAAGGGAAACTTCTGGAATGCTGGTAATGTTCTGTATCTGAATCTGGGCATCTGGGAAGTGGATATAAGGGTGCGTTCACTGTGTAAAAATTAATGGAACTTTACACTTAAGGTCTGTTATTTTATGATACATATGTATTCCTCAATAAAACAGTTTACTCCTTCCTGCCCCCCACTCCACCCCCAAATGAAGCAAATTGTTTGTCTTATTTTCTGACTGGTAAGTTTTAAATTTGAAACAACAATTTCCATCTGAAATATTATCTAAAAATTAGATGATAATATTATGTGCAATCTAACAAAACAATTAAGCCCTTATTCACAATATTATGAATCTAACTATATATAGAATTTGAACCTTTCTGAGATGTAATATAAAAATTTAAACAAAATAATGCAGTAATAAGTGTTTTAAACAAAATAATGAAAATTTTACAATTTTAATAAGCCTAGGATTTGGAAAAATAGACTAGAGAATGAGTAAATTGAGAAAATATACAACACTTAACCTAATTAAATTTTAGACTGCAGATCAATATGCTATGGTAGAATGTATATTTCATAAACCAAATTATCCTCACATTACAATTTTGAATAAATAATTTGTTGTAGGATGTGGTCGTCCTACAAACAGCATGTGGATAATAAGTCCCATCATACTAGAGCAGATGGCATTAAAATAAAAGAAAATCAAGGTTCAAATATTTTTAAGTTGAAGACTCATTTCAAGCAGCGTTTGATAAAACAATTCCAACATGTAGAAACAATTTAGACAATTATGGAATTTGATCAGTAATATTTCTAGCCCCTTGAAAAATATCACAAATATTTTTAGTCATAATGAACACTTCAAGTCAATGAAAAAAATGTAACTGTAAAATTAAATTAATATTATAAACTACATGATAATATAAATGAATTTAAGTTCCATCTTTCAAAATTAAAATTGCAAAAACAAACCAGGATACCATACCTCCTTCAGTCCAATACCATAGGTTTGGGGCTCACAATTGGCCCTCAGATCAAACTTCTTATATAGTTGTTTTGCTAGATGTCCATGGCAACCCTCTGCAAAAATTGTGACTTTGGCATGTAGTTCTAGTCCTCTCTCAAATGTTGTCTAAAAAGCAAAAACGTGTTAAATGGCAGCACTTGACAATTTAATGTATGTCCACATTCCAGTCAGTTTTAAATTGAACTATGATTCAGGTACAGAAGAGTCAGTGCAAATATACGAATATATAGGTTGAGCATCCCTCATGTGAAAATCCGAAATCCAAAATGCTTCAAAATCAGAGTTTTTTTTGCCAAAATGACACCACACGTGGAATGTTCCACACTTGACCTTGTGTTTCGGGCACAAAATTGTTAAAGATACTGTATAAAATTACCTTCAGTCTACATGCATAAGGTATGTATGAAACATAAATGAATTTTGTGTTTAGATTTGGGTCTCATCCCTAAGATATCTAATTATGTATATGCAAATATTTCAAAATCCAAAAAATATCTGAAATCTGAAACACTTCTGGTCCCAAGCATTTTGGATAAGGAATACTTAACTGGTAATATTAGAAATAAAACTAAGGTACTGTTATAAGCAGAATTTAACAACTTTTATAATATATCTTGTGTCTTTGTTATATTTATTTTCTTTTTTACTTTAAAAGTACTCGATTGAATAGTTAAGTTTGCAAGAATTAAAAAAGCAAATAAATATAACATGCTAAAAAAATTCTCTACAAATGAATATAAAGTGAAGAGGCCATTTCTCCACTGTTTCTAATTTTCCAATCCTAACATTGGAAAGAATGTTAACATGAAGCAAGAAACACTTAATAGCTTTCTTGTGAATCATGCCAGGAAAATTTCTATGAATAAAATACTATATAGAGCTTATTTCTATCCTTCTAACACAAATGAGGTCACACTAAACATACTCTTCAGCTATGTGCTTTTTTCACTTTAATTTTACTTGCTCCCTATTGTTAAACATATACTGTAAAACTGAAATGTTTTTTCCCAGCATAAAAAAAGCTACAATGAAAGTCTTTCTCTCTCCTTCTCTTGCTATATATTTTGCACTTATGTCTGGTACATGATAGGTATTACATAAAGTTACTTAATGAAAGAATACAGAACAAGCAGGAAAGTCTCTTATGAAATATATCTTTTCCAATATTTTTCTACTCATGGATTTGCATTTATGTGTGTACACAGATACATTCATACAAGTAACAGGTTTACACTGACATAGTTTTGTAACTGTTTTCATATTAATATTTTAAAGTGTTCTGCCTAAGGCAATATACATCAAATGAAGCATTTCTTTCAGTGCTTAAATAGCTTTCCCAATTTTCCAGCCAATTACTGATAGTTGGACATTTATGTTTTTCCAGTGTTTTATTATTATAAGCATTGCTTAGATCAATATCCTTGGTGCTAAACATTTTGTCGGAAGGGTAAGAATTATTTCATTATTAACTTAATATCTTTGGTTACTACAGTTTGAACATCTTCCATATGTTTATTGGTAACTTCTACTTTTCTTGTGAAATGCTTATTCACGTCATATATATGCATATATGTATATTGCACATGCACATATATCCTATACATAACTTATTCAATGCAAACTTTTTATTTTGTTGTCTTTCTCTCACTACTCTTCACTCAGTGATCCACTTTAACAACCTATGATATACCATTTTATGCAAAAATAAAAATATACATTTTGAGATGCTTATATATACACTTAAACTTTTTGGGGTCCTGGTTTATTTCACAAAAATAGATGATATAATACAAACTTTTTTCTATCTTACTGTTCTCACTTAATAATACCTCATGGAAATCTTTTACTGTATAGTTCAAGTTTTTGTCTTTAATGACTAGGTTGTAATCTATGTGGAGATATGATAGATTATTCAGCTATTCTGCTAATGTATAACAATTATTCAGCCTGTTTCCAATATATGCAGAAATATAAAAATGTTATAAACATCCTTGCTCTTACTCCTATAACATAGATTCCAAGAAGTGGGTCTATTTGGTCAAAGAGTACACCTATTTTTAACATGCATTACCAGATTGCTTTCTAAAAAGCCTGAAGAAATTAATATTTCCACCAGCAGTATACAAGAAGAGTCTTTTCCCTGAAGTCCAGGCAGTGACAGATATAATTGTTCCTTTCACATTTTTGCTAGTGTAACAATGGTAATGATAACTATTTTAATTTGCATTTCCCTGACTGCTATTTTGAGCATCTTTTTCTTTTTGCTTCAAGAATAAATGAATACTTACAATTTGCCAGGTTCTGTACTAGGCATTGGGAATGTAAGGATGAATAAAAAAAGACATGTTCCTTTCTTTTGGGCTAGTTATAGAGGCAGATGTTAAATAAATACATGAGTATATAATTACAAATTGTGTTTAAGTGCTATGAAAGAAAGCACAGGGTGTTATAAGACAGAACAATAGAAGGGAGCTATTCTGGATTGGGTGGACAAGAAAGATCTCTCTTAAGAAATGACATTTAAGTTGCGGACTCTGAAGAAAAGGTATTTAAGTATCTTTCTTTATGGTAAATGATCATTTAGATTCACTCTTCCATGAATTGTCAATTTGTTAGACTCTACCCATTTTCCCAATGTGTTGTCTTTTTTTCTTGTCAATGTTTAAGTGCTGGTTGGTATCAGAGACAGACAAAAATTTTTTCCCAACCTACTTTTAATTCACAGACTTTATAATATCTTTTGGTATGTAGAAGTGCATAATTTTTATATAGTTAAAAAAAAGTCTATCTCTTCTTTTGTAGGTTTTTAATTTCTTCTCACTGTTGTATGGCTTATCCTATCACTAAATGTAATTGTAATGTCTTAGATTTATTTCTGGGATTTTTGTTTTAAATCATTAGAATTAAAAAAAAAATAGTGGTCCAACTCTATTGCTTCCAGATAGACATACAGTTTTCCCAGCATTAATTGTTACAAAACAATTTAATCTTAATGAATGCTATGGGTCAAATGTGTCCCGCAAAATTTCATGTGCTGGAAGCTTGATCCCCGTTGTAATACTGTTAAGAGAGTGGGAAATCCAATTATGGTATTAGAAAGGTGGGCTCTTTAAGAGGTGATTAGACTATGAGGACTGTGGCCTTGTGAGTGGACTGATCCATTCAGAGAGTAACGGGCGTGGTACTGATGGCTTTATAAGGACAGCAAGTGAAAAAGTTCGCTCTCTTGCTCAGCCTGTTCTCACCATGGGATACCCTCTGTTGCTGTGGAGAGTCAACACCAAGAAGGCCCTCACTAGATGTGTTCCCTGATCCTTGGACTTTCCAGCCTCCAAACTGTAAGAAATAAATTTCATGTCTTTGTAAGTTATCCAGTTTCAGGTATTCTGTTATAAGCAAGAGAGAGAGACTAATACAATGAACTAAAATATTACTTAATATATTTCTTTTTCCTCTTAGAGGCAATATGCTCCTCAGTGTACAAGGGACAGGCCCTGGAGTCGCTTTGCCTGTATTCAAATACCAGCCCCACTACTTACCAGGTGTCTGACCTTGGGCAGGTTACTTAACCTATGAAACTTAAAAATGTCCAAATCAGAATTCTTACAATAAGATGCCTATTAGACACAGGAGTGGAGCTATTGAATGAGCAGCAGGATATATGATTCTGGGACTCAGGGAAGAGTAGTTAAAGCCATGGAACTAGATGAGATCACTAGAGAGAAAACGTAGATAGAGGACTCAACACTCAGCCCGAGGAACTCAATTTAGGGGACAGGAAGAAGCAAACATAGGCAACAGGAGGAGGAGCCAGTGAAAAACAAGAACACCAAAAGCTGTGAGAAGAGCCAAGTCAGGAAAGTGTGTCAAGAGGGAAAAAGTTATTCAACTGTGTCACTGCTGCCTTCTAGGAGGTCAGGGAAGCGAAGACAGAGACTCCACTACCAGACTGGCAAGATGGAGGTATCTGTGATGATGATAAAAGCTGTTCAGTGAAACAGAAGGGAAGCAAGTCTGGCTACAGTGAGTTAAATAAGGAATAAAACAACAGAGTAAACAGAAAATTTGATTTTCCCCACTCCAAACTTGTGGTACTAAAATAATTATTTTATCATTATTTTTTTAAAGTGCAGTAGAATATATATAAGAATTGCCATTTAAAGCAATTTTTTTTTTTTTTTTTGCAGCTGGCCAGTATGGGAATCCAAACCCGTGACCTTGGTGTTACCAGCAGCACACTCTAAACAACTGAGCTAACCAGCCAGCCCTAAGCATTTTAAACATACAACTGAGTGGAATTAATTACACTCACAATGCTATGCAACCACTACCTCTATCTATTTCCAAAGTTTTTCGTCGTCCTAAACATAAACTAGGTGCTCATTAAGCAATAACTTCTCATTATTCCTTCCCCTTAGTTTCTGGTAACCTCAAACCTAATTCTGTCCCTGAAAATTTTTTTTCTTTTAAATTTATTTTTTATTAATTGAGACCCATGATAATTGTATATATTTATGGAGTACAACATGATATTTGGGTACATTTATACAGTGTGCAATGATCATATCAGGGCATTTAGCATATCCATCACCTCAAACATTTGTCACCTCTTTGTGTTGGGAACATTCAACATCCTCTCAACTAGCTACTGAAAATAATTTGTTGTTGACTGTAGTGTCCCTATAATGCTACCGAACACTAGATCTTATTCTTTCTATCCCTCTACAATTTTTATCCATTTACTGCCTGTATTAGTCCGTTTCTGTTGCTTATAACGAAATACCTGAAACTGGGTGATTTATAAAAAAATTGAAATTTAATGCTTATAGTTTCTGAAGCTGGGAAGTCCAAATTCCAACTGCAGGTGGCCACAGTGGCCCAGGGGTCTCACATTGCAAGATGGTGGAAGCAGAGAGAGAGAGACAGACTCTCCTCTTCTTTTAAAGCCCTCAGAACCACACCCCGACCACCATTTTTAATCCATTCACTACTGCATGTCCTACAATCCAATCACCTCTTCAAGGCTCCACCTTTCAATTACCATAATAGGATTTCCCACCCTATTAACAGTCACAGTGGTGACTAAGTTTCTAATATATAAAACTTGGGGGACACAATTCTAGCTTCAGTGAATTTGGGAGAACATAATTCAATCCACTACATTACCCTTTCCCTATTCTTCCCTCCCTCCCCGCTCCCCTTACCAGTCTCTAGTAACCACTCTTCTGTCCTGTACTTCCATGAGATCAACTCTGTCAGCCACCATATATGAGTGAGAACGTGTGGTGTTTCTCTTTCTGTGTCTGGCTTATTTCACTTAACATAATTTTCTCCAAGCTCATCCATGTTGCTACAAATGGCAAAATTTTATTCTTTGTTATGGCTAAGTAGTGTTCCATTGTGTACATATCACATTTTCTTTATCCAGTCATCCACTGATAGTCACTCAGGTTGGTTCCAAATCTTGACTATTATGAATAGAGCCATAATAAACATGGGAATGCTGGTGTCCCTTCAACTTGTTGATTTCCTTTCCTTTGGATATATTCTCAATAGTGATATTGCTGGATTGTATGGTAGTTCTATTTGCAGTGTTTTGACAGACCTCCATACTATTTTTCATAACATCTGTACTAATAATAAACCTTACCAACAATGTATAAGAGTTCCCCTTTCTTTGCATCCTTGTAAAATAATTATTTTTAAAACCTAGATTTGGGGACTGAAGTTACTAAGACTCCATTGTATTCTTCTATGCTTTTATATCTGTATAAATACAATATACCAAATATAAATGTTTTTACAAATACAAAACATAAAACATAAAATACCTTATTTGAACAAAAATGAGAACACACAAAAAATAAAGTATCAAAATGGTAGAATTTATGTGCTTCAATTTTGTTATAATATTAAATACAAAAATTTTAAAAGGGGCTGGCTGGTTAGCTTAGTTGGTTAGAGTGTGGTGTTGTAACACCAAGGTCAAGGGTTTAGATACCTGTACCACCAGCCAATTGCCCCCCGCCAATTTTTTTAAAGAATAAAACATAATTTATAATTAACTTATCAAAATACAGAAAATAATAACCATAGTATAGGAAAGCCAGCATTCTTTTATCATTATGAGAGTCATATAACAGCTGTTTGCAAACCTGGCTATGGATCAGAATCCCTGGGGGCTTCTGCTTCAGACCTGCTGCAGGAAATGATGAGCCCCAAGACCTCACATGATTCTGCTGTAGCCAGTTAAGCCACTGGAGAAGCCCTGAAATAGGTAAGACTCTTGAGAGCTTTGTCACTTGCTTTCTAAGCAGGAAATAGTGAGAGACAGGCAGATCTACTGGAGGAGACTCCAGACTAGATTCCTAACTCTGTTCAAGAATGGCAGAAAGGATAAAGTACCAGTCAACAAATATTTACTGAAGACCTAATATGTATCTGGTACCACGCCAGGCACTGGAGTAACCCTCCATGATTTCTGTCCTAGTGGCGCTTTTAATCTAGTTGGGAAATTAGATAATAAACAAATAAACATGACTAGACAAGGTAATTTATTGAGTTGTTAATCTGTATTTTGTTCTTATTATAGGTTTAAAGGTTAATTTTAGGTGTCAACTTGATTAGATTAAGGAATGCTGAGAAACCTGGTAAAGCCATCTTTTTAGGTGTGTCCAGCAGAGCTTAGTATGAGAGTCTGAGTGGACTGAGTGGGAAAGACCCACCCTCAGTGTGGATGGGAACCATCCAATCCGCTAGGGGCCAAAAGAGAACAAAAAAAATGAAAAAAAGGTGAATCTGTTTTTCTTATCTGCTGGAGCTGGGATACACTCTTCTCTCCTGTCCTTGGACATCAGAGCTCGAGATTCTTCAACTTTTGGGTTCCAGGACTTATACCAAGGATGCCATCGGCTTCCTGGTTTTGGGGCCTTTGGACTTAAGACTGAACCACAGTATAGGTATCCAGTTTGCAGATGGACTATCGTGGGACTTTTCTTCACAACTGTGTGAGCTAATTCCCCTACTAAATTCCCTCTCATATATTTATAACATATCCTATTGATTCTGTCTCTCTGGAGAACCCTGACTAATACAATAGGAAAGAAAGGTATTTTTTCCTTGTCTTTTCCAAGGCACCTGTTGAGTGAGAGCTCTATGTTCTAAATGCTTTCTTTCTCAGATTCAAAAACACAAACTGTAAAAACCTGAAAACCATCCAGGCTTATATTTTGAATGAGAGGAAGGCAATAAGTTTTACATCTACCAAAACACATTAAAATCAGGTTGAAGTCTATCAGTATTACCTACTGATAGTTATGCAAATGATTCTTATCCATAGAAATGAAAACTATGGAGGTGGCAATGCAGTTGATTGATGACCTATGTATGTATGAATGTTTGAATTCTCCTTCAACTGGTTGTTAACACCTGATTCCCTCATTAACTGAGTGAAATAAAATCTTTGACATGGGTTTGTTTTATATTTGTATGAGTCATGTTTTTATCTTTTTAAAAAATTATTCTTAAACATGTTATATCTACTTACCTAAATCATGTTTAGCTCAAAGCTGCTTCTATATTTTTAAACAATTTTTCCATATTTTTCTCTCATTATAATAATATTCTAAAAGCCACATTAAGGGCCGGCCCGGTGGCGCACTGCTACAGTGCGCCGCTTGAGAGCGCGGCGGCACTCCCGCCGAGGGTTCGGATCCCACATACAGACCGGTTCCCGCTCACTGGCTGAGCGAGGTGCGGGCGCAACACCAAGGGTTGCGATCCCGTTGCCGGTCCCGGTCCGGTACGGGCGCGACACTGAGGGTTGCGATCCGTTGCCGGACACAAAAAAAGGAAAAAAAAAATAAAAGCCACATTAAATAATAATTAATGTGAAGTTTGTAGCAAGACCTAAACTCCTAAGTTTAAGTTGGTTCTTTCTTTTCCATTTGTCACTTTTTTTTAAGTACATAACTATTAAATGGTTTACCTTTGGTGCACCATCCTTTTGTATCCCTACGTCATTAGTGGCAATTCCTTTCACACTACCATCTTCATGAAAAAGTACCTGAAAAGATAAAAACAAATTTATTTTCACCTTAGGATGCATAATAACCTTGAAAAGAAACAGTAAATAGTCTTAGATTTCTCAGAAAGTGAACATGTTCTCTAGACTATAGAAATACAGGTCTTCAAGTGTTCAAGCAAAAAAAGAGACATGCTATTAAGGTTCTCCCTTATAAAGTATAAAAGAACACAGCTCAGACAGTTGGAAATGAAAATGATGCCACAACCTTGATGAGAAAGAAAAGGGAGACGCTACTAGAGAGGTTACTAGAGAAACCAGTAAGATTAAGCAAGAAGCTCTTTTCAGGTATCAAATTATGTGTCAAGTGTCTGAAATCAGGGCCTATAACAAATGAAGAACATGAAGGTGGGGAGAGAAAGAAACAGTGTTAGGAAATCTTATATTCCAAATGAGCTAAGAAATAAAAAAACAAAAAACAAAGAAAACAAAACAGAGAGAGGCTGAAGACAGCCCAAAAGTGATTAAAGATTATTTTTGGAGCAAGAAGGAAGGGGGAAAATAGTTCAAAAGCATAATTCTGAAGATGAGAAACAGCAATACTCTGTAACCCTCACTTGGTTTCTGTTTCCTCTCTGGAGGAAAATGCTCTTTGAATGGAAAAGTACAAAATGTACACTGGAATCACACAACAGATTATAAGCAAGCATGGGAATGGAGAGGTAGAACAAGAATGAGCAGCAATAGAGATGGGGGAAAAAAAGATATAAAGGTTTTATTTGATACCCTGAAAACAAATCAACAGTAAAATGTGGCTATGGACTGAAGTCTGGCTCAGAAAACCACAAAATCAAAAACAAACAAACAAACAAACAAACAAAACCCACCACAAAACAAAAAACCCAAAACTGGTAAATAGATCAGAAATCTATTGTTGAAGATCATTAAGGAACTGAGGAAAAGTGGAGAGGTACAAGAGACTGTAAGTATGTGTGTGTACTAAAAAATGAAAATCACAGATTCCATAAACCACCTATGTGTGATTTTTGACACTGATCACAGTAAAGAATTAACAACAAGAAATGCAAAATCCTACTCCTGGGTCCAAAAAACCAAATGCATATGTATGGGCTGGGAAAACAGAAATATGCAGCAGCAAGTATAACACAGGGACCTATGTTTTATTTGACTTACATACTGTAAGGGTAAAAATAAATCTAAAAAAATTTGAATTTTCTTTGGTGCCCAAAACAAGAGAACTTCCCCCCACCCCTCACTTTTCTTTTAGCATTTCCTTTAGCAAACGTCTAACCATAAATCCTTTCTCTGTCTCTCTGAAATATATGGGAACCTTTCTACAAGCTAAATAAGCCTCTTGCCAGTTTTGCATCCTAGGAATGTCTTTCTTGGGGACTTTGGAGCAATCCCTTTGAAATATGAACATCAAGGAGGTTGTGGTCCTGTCTTCTTGTCTTCTGTGGGAGTTGGGGCTAGGTGGTTGGCTCCAAGCTGTACATTCCTGTTTGTCAAAAAAAGATGTTTTATTTTTCTTTTGGGTAAAGACAATTAAATGTATGTAATGGATTGTACCTTCCTGGTTATTTAAAAGGGTGAGATTTCTGTCTTGGTCTGTGACATGCATTGCAGTCTTGGTTTAATGCTCATTCAACAATAAAAGTTTCACTCTTTTTATAATTTGTGTAGAGAATTTTTCTGGATTGCCAATAGATTTTGCTTTTAATAATTTTCCCAATAATACATAATGAGAATGAACAGTGAGATATGGCAGCTAAAAAAGTTACTACTTCAGGGGAACTAATGGAAGAACAGTTTCTAGAATGAAGAGGATAACAGCCTTGTACTACACTAGGTTTGAAGAATTTTATTCATTCTGGGTGCTACCATACAGGGATATAAAAAGAAAATGCATTCAGAAAAGGGCAACAAGAATACTGAAGGAACTCAAATTGTGTAACATGATGGTTGAAAGAACTGAGAATATTTAGCCCAGTGTTGGGGCTCAAAACAAGATACCCCAAAGTATGGCACCTTGGCATGCTGAGTACTTTTTTAAAAATTGAAATGTATTGATTATACATATTTGTGGGGTACAGAGTTATATTTCAATACATTTATACAACCTGTGAGGACTAAATCAGGGTAATTAGCAAACACATCACCATAAAACTTTGTGATGAGGACGTTAGACCTCTTTTCTAGACATTTGATAACATGCAGCAAATTATTATTAATTATAGATGCTTAGCTTGACTGTACATCAATAGAACTTATTTTTCCTATTTAGCTGTTTTGTGTCCCTTAACCAACCTCACTATCTCCTCTCCCCCTTCCTCACCTTTATTAACCACAGTTCTGCTCTTTCCTTCTGAAAGTTCAACTTTTGTTTGTTTAATAAATAAATTAATTTATACCTCCCACTTAGGAGTGAGACCATGTGGTATGTATTCATTCATTCATTCATTCATTCATTTATTTATTTATTTATATCTTCCACTTATGAGTGACACCATGTGGTATTTCTCTTTTTGTGTCTGGCTTACTTCACTTAACATAATTTTCTCCAAGCCCATCCATGCTACTACAAATGGCAGAATTTTTTCATTCTTTTTTATGGCTGAGTAGTATTCCATTGTGTACATATACTACATTTTCTTTATCCAATCATCCGTTGATGAACATTTAGGTTGGTTCCATATCTAGGCTATTGTGAATAGAGCTACATTAAACGTGAGAGTGCAGATGTCCTTTTGACATGATGATTTCCATTCCTTTGGGTATATACCCAGTGGTGGGATTGCTGGATCATATGGCAGTTCTATCTGTGGTTGTCTGAGAAACCTCCATACTGTTTTTCATAATGGCTGTACTAATTTACAGTCCTACCAACAGTGTATAAGTGTTCCCCTTTCTCTGTATCCTCCTCAGCATTTGTTATTCTCTGTCTTTTTGATAATAGCCAGTCTAATTGGGGCGACATGATATCTCAATGTAGTTTTGATTTACAATTTTCTGATGATTAATGATGTTGAGCATTTTTTTCATATACCTATGGCCACCTGTATGTCTTCTTTTGAGAAATGTCTATTCAGCTCATTTGTCCATTTTAAAATCTGATTATTTGTTTTTTTACTCCTGAGTTGTTTAAGTTCCTTGTATATCATGGATATTAATTTCTTGGCAGATGCTGAATACTTTGAACTGAAGAAAATTGGAAAGACCTCAGAAGCAAGGTCTTTCTGACTTTCTTCCTTCCTTTTTTCTCCTGCCCCCCTGTCTCCCCCAAAGCAAGTCACAGAAACCAGAATTCCTCTTCCCCAAGGTGGGTCATGGAAATTAGAACTCCTCTATTCAAAGCAAGCCATAAAACCTAAAAAGGTTACTCTCTCCCTTTCCCCTTCAAGACCCTAATAACAGAGGGGACTTGCCCCATACCTAGTAAGAAGGAATGCTGTACAGAGAGGTCAAGAAGATCGTGAGCAGACGGGCCTTGCTGGGTTTGCCCCCTCAGTGTATTAACATGAGTTCGTACCCGTTTGTCCAATCACATTTGTATATGCTTGCCCGTTCTTCATGGAACATAAGCTTAAAAATACATAGTTTTCCCTGGGTCTTTGGGGTCTTCATTTCTGATGGCTCCCCTGTTATGTAAAACTTGAACAAAATAAATTTGTTATGCTTTTCTCTCGTTAACCTGTCTTTCCTTATAGCAGTGTCTTCCGTGACCCTTATGATGGGTGAGGAAAGACGTTACACCTTTCTGCCCCTACACTGAGAAAGGAAAATGTCCAGGGCTGGCTGGTTAGCTCACTTTATTAGAGAATGGTGCTGACAGCACCAACGTCAAGGATTCAGATCCCTGTACCAGCCAGCCACTGAGAAAAACAAAAACTAAACAAAGAAAACTCCAGAGTAAAGGTGTGAAAGAAGAGAGAGCAGGGCATAATTATAATCAGAAAGTTGTCCTTGGAGGAGGGCATAAATTTGTTCTGTACACTATAAAAACAGTAGATAATTTCAGTTGAATATAAGAGAGAAATTACCAACAGTCCACAAATCAGAGAGAATTTTTCATCCTTTATGGTGTTTAATCATAACTTGGAAAATCACTTATGAGGGTACAATATAAGGAATTCAAGTACTGTTTGGAATAGATCTTTTTAAGGTGCCTTCTAAACTTGCAATTTTACAATTCTATGGCTTTTCTAAGAGATTACTTCCATAAATACTAAAAAGAAAACAAAACTACACAAACCTCAGCAGCAGCATAACCAGGATATACTTCAACACCAAGGGCTTCTGCTTGTTCTCCCATCCAGCTCACTAAATGTCCCAAGCGTACAATGTAATTGCTGTGATTATTCATCGGAAGACCTAAAATAAATGCTTAATTTATAAATCTGACTTTTTGTTAATATCTCAAATAATAAATAATTAAAAAATTCTAATCATTGTGTATTTCTGCATAAACGTATACATTATCTTGATGGTCATGCTTTCAACTTATTTTCTATAATTTTGGTCTAGAGTTTTACTTTATTAAATTAAAAACAACATTAAAGCATCAAATTAAAAATTCCTGGTTGGCTTATAAGGCTACCTCAATTCTTCTAGACTGGAAGACAAAAGAACTGGGTTCTAGACTGCTTTCCTACCAGCTAGCTGTATCTTTGGGTAAATCCTTCAAATCTCTGGACCTCAGTTTTCTCATCTGTAAAAGGCGGAATTTCACGAGATGAAATGTAGTTCCTTTCAGCTGTAGAATTCCGTTGTTCTACGAGTATTTGTCATACCTTACCTGGAAGAATTGGCACAGGAATTCTATATTTCTCTGTTAAAATTCCAAATCTGTCTTCTGTTACAGGAGTGTTAAGTGGAGCCTAGAAACAAAAGAGGAAAGAACGAGGTTCTAGTTCATATTTGTAAGGGTAAATATAAATACAAAACGCTTTTAGTGTTACTATGGAGACAAAAGGAAAAGGGAAATCCCCCTCACTTTTCTTTACCCATTTCCTTTAGAAAACTTGTAAATGTAAATCCTTTCTCTGTCTCTTTGAGATGTATAAGCCTCTTGCCAGTTTCGCATCCCCAAAATGTCTTTCTTGGGAGCCTTGGAGACATCTTTGAAATGTGAACAGCGTGTGTCCCTGTGTCAGTAGGAGTTTAGCCTTGGCACTTGACTCCAAGTTGAAACTTCCTGATTGTTGAAAAGATAAGTTTTATTTTTCTTTTGGATGAAGACACTTAATATACATGCAATAAATTTTTCCTGCCAGTTATATATATGTAAGCGAGTGCCAAAGCCATAAAGGCCTTTGATATGAAAAATGTTTTCTTTCTACAAGGGGACTTTAAAATATTCATGAAAAATGTTATTAAAAGATGAAAATAAAAATTATAAACTTTATTTCTCAGCATAAGCTCCACCAAGTTCAAAACACTTTTGTAAGTAACGATACCAGACATTTAGTCCATCCCTAAGGAACTGAGGGTCTTGGGAATTTAACCATGTTAATGCAGTCTTTTCACATTATTAACTGAAGAAAAATGGGTGCCCTTTAAAGATTTTTTTAAGCTTAGAAAACAAAAAGAAGTCAGAAAGAGCCAAATCAGGGCTGTAAGGTTACCTAATGATTTCTCATTGAAAGTCTCACAAAACTGCCCTATCTGATGAGAGGATTGAGCAGGAGCACTGTTGTGGTGGAGAAGGACTCTCTGGTGAAGCTCTCCCAGGCATTTTTCTGCGAAAGCTTTGGCTAACTTTTTGAAAACACTCTATAATAAGCTGAAGTTATTATTCTCTGGCCCTCCAGAAAGTCAGCAAGCAAAACGCTTTTAGCATCCCAAAAAACTGTTACCATGACCTATGCTCCCGACTGGTCTGCTTTTGCTGTGACTGGGCTACACCACCTCTTGGTAGCCATTGCTTTGATGAGCTTTGTCTTCAGGATGGTACTGGGAAAGTCATGTTTCACCTCCTGCTACAATCATTGAAGCAATGCTTAAGGATCTTGATCTCACTTGTTTAAAATTTCCACTGAAAGCTCTGCTTTCGTCTGCAGCTGGTCTGGGCACAAGTTTTTGCACCCACCAAGCAGAAAGTCTGCTCAACTGTAATTTTTCAGTCAGAATTCTATAGGATGAACCAACTGATATGTCTATGGTGTTGGCTATTGTTTCTGATTGATTTTTTCCTCACAAATGAATTTAGATTGTCTGCCACTGATGGCTTCATCTTTGAGATCATCTCATCCCTTCTTAAAATGAGTTATCCACTTGTAAACCACTGATTTCTTTGGGGGCACTATCCCCATAAACTTTTGTAAAGCATCAATTATTTCACCATTCTTCCACCCATGTGTCACCATCAATTTTACGTGTGTTCTTGCTTCAATTTTAGGAGAATTTATGTTGCTCTTATAGGGGATCCTTCCAAACTAATGTCTTATCTTTTTTAGTGCTTCAAACTAGATCCTGTTGAGACATCTTATAACAAGTCAGTATGAGTTTCTTCTGGTACCAAAAAATTTTTGAAATTCAGGCATAGTTTTTCCCTCATACACATTGTTCATGAACTTTATTAAGATGTTTCATATTAGAATTGATATTATGGGAATAATAATTCAATGATATCTGTTTCTGATAAAATATTGAGAACAGAAATTTAATTAGGCATGATTAAAGTATTTCTAGTTTAAAGGAACTTGATATTTTAAAAAGAGCATAAATAAATTTCTGGAATTCAATTTACTCCACATGGAAAAAATACAGATGATAATTATATAATTTTTAGACCTTTACCAAGTATATTCATAGACACTGAATATTCTAACTTTGGAGGTAGGACACATATAACCCACCTTACAGAAGAAAATACTGAGAGAATGAGATTTTAACCAAGTTCATACAAATTCTGAAGGCCATAAAACTAGCACTTGGTCCTCTGCATATTGTACCCGTAGCTTTTCTGCTTAGTTTATGGGTGGTCCTATTAATTAATCTTTTTTTAGAAAAATTTTTCTAATTTTTTAAGAAAATTAGATTATCCTTTTTGACTTTAGATATTGCATTGTCCCAGAAAATTTTATATAACACTTTATTAAAAACAAAGATACAGAGAGAATCAAGATGGCAGAATAGATGGCCCCCAGTGTCACTCTCTCCCACAATCGACCAATTTACAACTATTAAAAAGCAAAGACCACCAAGCTGGGGCCGCTAGAGCTCAGGGGAAGAGGAGTAGAGAACTACAGAGTTCATGAAGGTGGGAGAAGCCACAATGAAAGAACGAAGGGGCCGCTTTGACTGTTTCGAGAGACAGTCATTTCAAGGCTGGCCCTGTTGAGCACACAGAACAAGAGCCGGCAAAATCCACAGCTGTGCCCCTTGTGTGAAGTTGCTTGGAGACTGCAGAGGAGAGGAAGGCCTTGATGGCTCCTAGGCCAGCAAGACCACTGACAGGGTTTCTGTGGACCCATACAGGAGCAAGGGGCCACAGACAACTGAAAAAAGTAGCTACTCAAAGGCTGGTGAGTCACTGCAAAGGACGGGCGCATGGCCTGCCCCATGGGAAGTGTTTGGAATACAGGGGGTGGGGGAAACTGGTCTACTGGGGGAAAACTGGGACACAGCATGGACAGCTGATCTGCCCCCCAATCAGCACAGGCCCACTCAGTGGAGACTAGTCAGAAATATAGAACTGCAGGAGGTGAAGTTTGCTAAAAGGACTCAGGCCCAGCCCAGAGTTTCCACATAAGACAGGTGTATCGGACCTCACAAGACCAGACAGTGCTTAAAAGGTCAACAATTAAAACCTGAGCTGCACAAAAATCCTTCCCAGAGAATCAGCAGCAAAGCAGCAATTTAGCTCAACCACAGGACTCATTCCCACAAGAAGTTCCCCCATTTTAGAAGTAAGCAAAGGATGACGAATTGTTCCAGTGTGGAGTTTATGTGGTGGGGGTAGCTAATAATCCAACACATAACTGAAAGAAAACACAAATAACCCACAGATCAGAGACAAATTTCTGATATTGTAGACCAGTAAATGTCTAATACCACCAAAAAGACCTACAAACCCCAGAAGGGCTGGAAACCTCCTGGGCTCCTGAGCTGGGGTGAGGGGGCCCACGGGCCTTAGCCATGCCACCCTGATGTCTGCATCCAGCCCAGAGATGACTGAGCCACCGATGGCAGTCCCCCAGTCTCCCGAGCTGGGGTGTGGGTGCTGAGCGTCTCAGCCACACCCGCTGATGTTCACCTCCAGCCCAGCAACAACCGAGCCGTCGCCAGAAAATCCCCAGACTCTCAAGCCAGAGTAGGGGGTGGCCTCTGGGCCTCAGCTACACCCCCCACCCTCTGCAACGAGACCAGTGAAGGAGCCAGCTGTAGGCCAGCCCTGCCCTCCACTCCCACCTCCATCCAACCCCTCACTCTGCAATAAAAACAAAAAAACCCATGATACAAATACCTACAGAACAAGTTAAAAAATACTCTCGAAATAAAAAATGCTGTATTTCATTTGGTATAAATATTCAAAGGTTTTCTCAAGATTATGCCTTCTCATAAATCTAGTACATAAATACAATATGTAGATGACATTATATAAAAATATGAGTTAATATCTTAAATTATAACTCTATCTGTTAAGATTCAATCTTTTTTGCTCTTTTCAAATAAAAAAAATAATATATATATAAAATTATTCCCTAAGTGATAGAATTACATGGAAAAGGTTCCCTATATTCCATTAATTTGGAAATAATGATGTAATAAAGATTAGTGTTTGTATAAAAAACAATTTTTCATACCCCCTTCTCCTTCCAGTCTGGGAAGAGTTCTTTAAAAGCACCTGGATCAAGGCAAGCCCCTGAGAGAGTATGAGCTCCTATTTGAGCAGCCTTTTCCACTAGACACACACGAATGTCCTTTTCATGTTTAGCAGCCAACTGCTTTAGCCGAACAGCAGCAGAGAGCCCTGCAGGGCCTGCGCCAACTATTACTACATCTGCTTCTTCTGCAAACCTCTCCATGTTCACTCCTGGGAGGAAAAAAAAATGTTAAAAATAAACAAAAATTCTGGAATTAATATGACCTGATATTCGTGTAATAAATCACATGCTGGTTTAAAAATATCCTCTATACGTTAGAGCATTATTTATAAAAATTCTCCCTGTGCTTTGCACAGTAATTACATTAAGTATATTATTGTATTAGTTTGATGTTTTCTTAGGTTCTGCTCCAGGTTATATCTTATTTTAGCTCCCATTAACCAACTTTTGGCTTTGAGATTTATTATTATAAATTTAACAAATATTTGCTTATCTAAATAGTAATATGTAACATATTTGGTAAAGCCATAACATATTAAATGTGTTTAAACTATCATAAAAAATATAATGTACCCCTCCACAAAATAATATGAAGTATCTAGAAGAATCTCATATTTTACACAATTATTACTTACCTTCCCACCGCTTGTCCTTATCTCGGGGGTAAACAGTATAGTGGGTAGTAATTCGAGGTACAACAGAAGTTGAAGACCATCTTGTAGCATACAGAGGTAGATAATTTTTCTTAATTTTTAAGGCATGAAAGCACTGATATGCTGCACAAAAATTATGAACATTATTATCTTTTTTCAATTAGTTTTCCTTAGGAGTAGATTGAAAAAACATATAAACTCCATGATCATACTCAATAAGTCATATAAATTGAAACAAACTGTATTATTTCCTAGATGAACAATTCAGTTAGCTTTTTCTTATAAAGCAATGTTTTCAAATCTTAAATACCTTATAACTATTTAATAAATTTACTTGATTTAGCTCATGTCAGGCTTAACCTATAAATAGGATGACAATATGATTAGTCGTTCAAACTGGACACTTTTGAGAGTAAAACAGGGCAGTACTAATGATTATATTGGGCCAACGGTAAACTGGGTTTTATGGTCAGCTTCTTTTTCAAGTTGTTTTAAAGTTTAAAATTTTAAGTTGACCTACCCATATGGCAGTATTTTCTGAGAGTCACAAAAAAATGTATATATATTTTGAGTTAGCAAACAGTATTTTATGGAAATAAACAGAAGTATGCAAAGATTTATCTGTAAAAATGTTCATTAAACCTTCTCAATTGTCCTCAAAACCTCGACTCCACCTCCTCTTTCCCTTACCTGGTGCAGTTACCCTAGCATCAAACCTCATAAAGACAGAAGCAATTAGACAGGAACTCTCTCAATTCTTTGGCAACAACCTCTAATATAATCTCTATTTGTACCTGTATTTTGTTCATTCTCTCTGATTATAACCGAAGAGATGTCTTTTCTCCCCACTAAGGTTAATTCTTTTACTTGAATGATGAGGCTTATCTCTCCTGTGTTCTTAGAAAAATTCCTCCATCTGATCTCCCTTCTTCCTGTATCTTGAATTTCTGACTCCCTTCTCTGCCTCTGTTCTCCTTGATAGTCTTTCCTATTATAAAAAAAAGGACAGAAAATCCTCCCATGGTACTAGCCCTGATAGATATAAAAGTTTATATTTGAAACTATATAATACAGTAATGCACCTCATATGTTTCAGTCAATGATGGACTGCATATATGATGATAGCCTTATAAGATTATAATGAAGTAAAAAATTCCTATCATCTAGTGACATCATAGTGCAATTACTTTAGTTTTTTATAAATTTAGTGGAGTCTAAGTGTACAGGGTTTATAAAGTCTACAGCAGTGTACAGTATGTCCTGGGCCTTCACATTCACTCACCACTCACTCACTGATTAGTAATATGTAGCATATTTACATATTACTAATTTTACATTCACTCACCACTCACTCACCCAGAGCAACTTCCAGTCCTGCAAGCTCCATTCACGGTAAGTGCCCTAAATGGGTGCACCGTGGTTATTTTTGTTTTTTTTTTAACCTTTTATACCACATTTTTACTGTACCTTTTCTGTGTTTAGATAGATTTAGGTACACAAATACTTTTGTGTTACAATTGCCCACAGTATTCAATACAGTAACCTGCTGCACAGGTTTGTAGCCTAGGAGCAAATAGGCTATACCATATAGCTTAGGTGTGTAGTAGGCTATACTATCTAGGTTTGTGTAAGTACACTCCAGGATGTTTGCACAATGATGAAATCACCTAACAGTCTCAGGACGTATCCCCATCATTAAGCGATAACTGTAACTAGAAGTCTATTATAGTATAAGGGATAGAATAACAAGAGAAACAGAATAAAGAGTTGAGAAATACAAGAGTACTTCAAAAAGTTCATGGAAGAATTTGTATTGTCTCTTAATTCTATTTTCCCACCACCCTTTTGAAGTACCCCCATAGAATACACATAGGGATTTGGTATTTTTCCATTTGGAAAAAGTATACTCTGCTCCTTATTTCAAAATAATTCCATTTGCTGAAAATTTTAACAGAGAAATTCAAAGTATAAAAGATTATGGTGACATATCCACAAATTCCTTGATTCTTCTCCTTTTCAGTCTGGTCTTAACTTATTGACTAGCTTCTAAAAGTAGAGCATGGAAAGAAAAAATATTAACTTTACAATAGAGAAATATGGCAGACCACTTTAGCCAAGTGATCAAGTTTAACATTATCAGCAATAAGACATACTGATATTACATACCTGCTCATACGATGCAACGAGAAGGTTCTTCACCTCTGTGGTACAACATCTCTTTTACCTCAGTCTAACCATAACCAATCATCAGACAAACTCATATTGAGAAGCATTCCACAAAAGCCTGACCAGTACACATCAAAAATGTCAAGGTCAAGAGGGATAAGAAAAGACAGAGGAACTGTCACATTGAAGTAGACAAAGGAGATAAGACAACTAAAAGCTATGTTGTGCCCTGGAGTGAATCTTGGAACAGAACAAGAAAATCTGAATAGTCTATAGTTTAATTAACAGTTTTTCATATGTATGATAAGGAACTTATATCTAGAATATATAAAGAACTCATGTCTTATAATAAAAAAACCAAATAATCCAATTAAAAAGCTGGCAAAGGATCTGAATAGACATTTCTCCAAAGAAGATATACAAATGGTCAATAAGCACATGAAAAGATACTCAACAACATCAGCAGTCAGGGAAATGCAAATCATAACCACAATGGGATACTTACATCCACTAGGTTGGCTATAACCAAGAAGACAGATAACAAGAAATGTTGGCAAGGATGTAGAAAATTTGGAACCCTAATGCACTGCTGGTGGGAATGTAAAACGGTGCAGTATTTGGTAAAGGGACACGAAAATCAACTACATTGTATATTGATAAATTCAAATTTAAAAAAATGGTGCAACAGCTTTGGAAAACAGTCTGGCAGTTCCTCAAAAACGTTAAACATAGAGTTTTCATATGACCTACTCCTAGGTATATATCTAAGATAAATAAAAACATACATCCATGCAAAAACTTGTACATGAATGCTCATAACTGATTTATTCCTAACAGCCCCAAAGTGTAAACAACCCAAATACCCATCAATTAATGAATAAATAAAAAGTGATACCTCCATAAGATGAAATATTATTCAGCAAGAAAAAGAAATTAAGTACTGACACATGCTACAACATGGATGAACCTTGAAAACAATATATTATGTGAAAGAAGCCAGTTGCAAAAAAAGAACATATATGAATTTATGTACATGAAATATCCAGAATAGACTAATCTATAGAGATAGAAAGTAGATTAGTTGTAGTATATGGCTGGAGAGGTTGGTGAGTGACTGTTCATACGTATGGGGTTTCTTTTGCGGATGATGAAAATGTTCTAAAGTAGATTGTAGTGATGACTACACAACTCTGTGAATATGCTAAAAACCACTGAATCTTAAATAGCATAAATTGCAATGGTATGTGACTTACATCTCAATAAAGCTGTTATAAAAAAAAGCACATTTACAGTCACATACAAAAATATTATGAGGAAAACACGTAATTTTTTTTAGAATTAGGATTTGGAAAGGGTTTTCTAAGTATTACAAAAATCTCAAAAATCATAAGATCATTTGACTAAAATTTAAACGATCTATGTGCCCATTCTAATTAACGGTGGATAAATGTCATTGTACATTTGTCAAAACCCATAGAATTTACAACAGAGTGAACCCTGAGGTAAACAATGTATTTTGGTCAATAACAATGTATTCATATTGGCTCATCAATTGTAACAAATGTACCATATCAATGCAAGATGTTAATTATAGGGGAAACTGGGGTTGGGGAGGCAGGGAGAGTTACATGGGAACCCTGTATTTTCTGCTCAATTTTTCTTTAAACCTGTAACTGTTAAAAAAAAAAAAGTTTATTAATTCAAACAAAACCAAAAAAAGGGCAATATGGAAAGGCAGTGGTTAAGCGCACTGGCTTTAGAATCTGTCTACTTTATGTTTGAATTTAACAGCAATGAAAGCTTCAGCAAGTTATTTAACTCCCCACTGAATCAGCTCGGAAGTTTATGGTCAGTCTTTGTCTTGTAGATACTGGTAAACAAAAAATCTGCTCTGACCGGGTCAGCTAAATTATAGTGCTTTGGGAGATTTGGGCTAAGTCAGTAATCATGTCCACCCGTCCTGGAAAACATTATAAGACCATTTTTTCTTTAAAGCAGAAAAGATGGTACCGGAAAGCCATAAAATAACCTGGAATGCTTCTTATGACCCACGTTCTAGATCCCTGAATTTAGGATGTAACCTAGTAACGATTCCAAATCTATAGTCATGTACAGCCAATAGACAACTTGACGAAGTAATTAAGTGGGGTAATAAAATGCTAAGCTCTGTTGGCCCTCTTCAGAGAGCATTTCTTTTTTTTTTTTGTCTTTTTGTCTTTTTTTGTGACCGGCAACGGATCGCAACCCTCAGTGTCGCCCCCGTACCGGACCGGGACCGGCAACGGGATCGCAACCCTCGGCGTTGCCCCCGCTCCTCGCTCAGCCAGTGAGCCGCCGGTCTGCACATGGGATCCGAACCCTCGGCAGGAGCGCCGCCGCGCTTCCCAAGCGGCGCACTGTAGCAGTGCGCCACCGGGCCGGCCCTTCAGAGAGCATTTCTCAGGGCAACCTGACCTACACATCTCCCTGGTTGCAATCATCATATTAGCTCAATAAATCCTTGCTATATGTATTTGGTCTCAATTTCTTTTTAGGTCATTGATACAATAATGACAGATCCAGTATATGTCTTACACAAAGCAAGTCGCCTATACCTATTTGTTAACTGAATAAGTACCTTCCTAGTTACAATTTCAACTGTCATCCAAGAATCTGCAAATCACTGCTTTAATTTCTGGCAGAGAGCAATAATAACAATGAAGCCTTGCCTAACTTTTATACTGTCTCTTACTATAGAGTATCTATTTGCAAATGAACAATTTCTTTCTTTCTTTTTTTTTTTTTTTTTTTCCTTTTTGTCTTTTTTCGTGTCCGGCAACGGATTGCAACCCTCAGTGTCGCGCCTGTACTGGACTGGGACCGGCAACGGGATCGCAACCCTCGGTGTCGTGCCCGCACCTCGCTCAGCCAGTGAGTGGGAACCAGTCTGTATGTGGGATCCGAACCCTCGGCGGGAGCACCACCGCGCTCCCAAGCGGCGCACTGTAGCAGTGCGCCACCAGGCCGGCCAGCCAGCAAATGAACAATTTCTAAAAATGGACTGTAACAAATAGTAAAGAATTTCACATGGATTTAGGGTATATAATACAATTCACATTTTCATGGACATACTCAACAGTCAAGAATTTTCAATCTTAGTACCACACCTTATCCTTTAAAACTTCATGAGGCGAGGTAGCTACAATCCCCATTTATAGCAGATAAATAGAAATTCAGATGATCTCTAGCCAAACTCAATCTCAGTCCTTTCAAACATGCTGTCAAGCTCTGATTATACTTCAATTTGAAATTATCTCTGAAGTCATGGAACATAAGGCTGTGGTAAAATCAAGTTGTTTTCTTTCTTTCTTTCTGATTAAATGCAGAGATGACATGTTTTAATAAAGTTAGCCTGTCACAGCCTATTTATTTTTATTCTTTAGCACTCAACTGCACAATAAATGTGTTGATGTTTTATTCTTTCCAATAAATTTTTTTAAAAAAAGTAATAACCTGGGGCCGGCCCGGTGGCGCACTGGAGAGTGTGCTGCTTGGGAGTGCGGCGGCGCTCCCGCGGAGGGTTCGGATCCCATGTGGAGACCGGTTCCCGCTCACTGGCTGAGCACGGAGCGGGCGCAACACCGAGGGTTGCGATCCCGTTGCCGGTCAGTAAAAAAAAAGACAAAAAGGAAAAAATAAAAAAGTAATAACCTGGCATCAGACAATCAATAATTAAAAAGATTATGATGAATGCAGGAGGGAAAGAGATTTGGAGCAGCTGAACTTTAAATCCTTTTAAACACTTAAAGTCTGTTTTTGATAATCAATCTCAAAAAAAAAAAAAAGTGACAAGGAAACTAATTTTCTCTACCTGCAAACATATACTAGAAACTATAGTATTAGGAATACATTTTTTAACCTTAGATAACAACTTACCTATCCTAAATCTTGAAAAAAAGTAAATAAGACACATAAGTAAAGATATTATAGGAGGACTCAGTTCCAGAGTTCAAATATACTGTTTTCATCATTTAAAAGAATATTTATTATACGATGCATTGTAGTTAGAGGTACAGAAGTTATCATTTACTTCTGAAAACTGATGATTGGAATATGACAAACTTTAACTCCACTACTTGTAGGCTAATGATTTTCTTGAGAATATTTGGAACTATGTAGTCTGATTTCCTCTGGGGGATTAAAAAAAAAAAGTCACAACCTTTTCCCCTTTTCTGAAAACAAATCTGATATCTCACTTTGGATATGTGAACATTTAGCCACCTTGGCTGAATTTTGGTTGATAAATGAGGTCACAAAATCCATTAACCTCACAACATCACCATATCAAAGTCACACTGATAGCACATTTGTGTCCAACTCTTTGTTGCCACTAGTGCTAACACTAGGTTATGAAAATGTCAATAAATTAGCATCCAAAGAAAACAGAAAGGGTAATTTCAGAAGAATTTGGTTAGCACTGGGCCTAAGACCAATTGTATCTAAATTAGGCTGCGGAGCAGATAACATCTGACTACTTTAATGCTCCAAAAAACATAAAGTATATCTGTACATCAGGTGTACTAATAGATGCATGGGTAACACGAACTTTAAACAAAATCTAACTTCTTAATATATTAGGCCAAATTTAACAAAGTTCTACTTTCGTGAAATTTACATAACATACTTCAATTTGCAATATGTATACCGGTTTAAATGTTCTATAAGCAAAACTTTAAAAAAATCAGCCAGTTATTACAGAATTCAAGATTCTTTAGTAAACTTTTCTGTTTGAATTAAAAAAATTTTTTGGTTTTTAATTTTGGCAGCTGGCCGGTACAGGGGTCTGAAGCCTTAGACTTTCGTTTTATCAGCACCATGCTCTAACCAAATGAGCTAACCGGCCAGCCCTGGTTTTTAAGTAAAACTAAAAAGTATCCAAACCCATCGGTCATCGTGATGGTTCAAGGAACACCCATAAAACGATAAAGCCCCTAGAGTTAATTTTAGACAATGTAGAAAAATTCCTGGCTCCATATATAACCTAGTGACTTGGGCAGCATATGAATGTTAATCATGATGTGACAGATCAGATTTCAAATTCTTAAGACTGAACTAGGATGGGTGAAAGACAAAAAGTAAGGTCAGGACCGAGGAGAAAAACTGTGCAAATATTATTTTTTCCATTTTCAATGCTTTGGGATGAGGATTAGGACCAGGATTTGAGAAGAGTGAATTCAGGAGTCCACGAAGTGGGGAGGGGGAAACCTGTTGACAAGTTTCCTCCGCTCATGACCTTTAGCCTAGAAGTTAATTCTTTCAACTGGGGCAACCCCAAGGGAGGAAGACCGGGTCCACCACCAGGCGCAGACAGTGTCACCTTTGCCCTAATTTAGCTTGAAAAGGAAACGGTGCCTTCAGCCTACAGATGGGCACTGTCCGTTTCGCCTTAACTCCTTCACCTTCCTCCCCTTATCCCCATCCAGAGTTCCCTCTCACCCGGGCAGGACAGCTTGGCTATCGGCACCAACATGTTCAAAGTGGCCAGGACTCTTGGTCGGATACAATGGAAGGACTGTCTCCGGGCGCTGGACCTCTAGGCCGCGGGGGGCGCCATCACCGGCCGCGCAGGACCAACTCCGCCGCTGCACTTTGGCTCTCCGCTCAGCCTACCGCTCTTGCTCACGGCGTTCCCGCCTCCCTCTCGCTCTGCGCCGGCGCCACTCATGACCCGACGGTCAGCAGAGGCTTCCGGGTCCTGGAACAAACGAGAAGAAAAGGGAGCCCAAGTCCCAGCGCGGCCCGCGGCTTCAGGCTGCGGATTGGTCTGAACCACGTTCTCACCCACGCATGATAAAGCAGCCAAAGTGCTACGGGAGGGGCCCACAAAGCCCCTAGCAGGGAGCACGCGCAGTGAAAGCAGGAGGTGGAGCGATGCGCACGGCTTCCTGGGAGTTGTAGTCTTCACCTCCAGCGCCCTCCGAGTCCGACTGGAGGTCTGCGCAGGAGCAGAGAGCTGCTCAATGTGAATTGGCTGACATGTGATTGGCTGTCCCGAAGAATGAAGTCTTTGTGGTTCTGGGCTGGGACTCTGAAGAGACGGGGCGGGACTTGGGGCGGGATTTGGGGCGGGACGAGGTGGTGCCTCTGGGCTTTGAGCGCGAGCGGTTGAAAGACGCTGCTGTCGGTTCGGCTGCTCTGATCGTATTCTGCAGTCCCAGCCCTTGCCCATGGCTGAGCCTGAGGAGCTGCGGGTTGCTTCGTCGCCCCCGCCGCCTTGCTCTTCTCCCTCGTGTTCAGACGCCTCTTCCGCGTCTTCCCCCAGCGTCCCAGTGAGTTTGGGCTGGACAGTTCCGAGCAGGAGTAGCGGCCGAACGGTGGATCCGCTAGAGGCAGTGGAGCTGCAGATCGGAGACGTGAGTGTCGCGTCGCGCGACAGGTCCCGGGACCGCGGCCCCAGTCAGCGCTTCTCGGAAGACAGACCCTGTGGGCTCGGGAGGGGGAGTCCGTCCACCCGACCCCGCGCGACTGGCCCTTCTCCTGCCTCCTGAGCGTGCAGGGGGGATGCCAACAGTTAAAGTGCACCCCACCCTGAGGATTCTGCCTTTAGACGTAGGGTGGAGGAAGGGGGCGTCCACCGCCCCCTTGCCCCCCGTCGTCTTTTCGCCTTGCCTTCTGGTTTCAATCAGCCGCAGTAACCCGAGAGCTCACGTGCGCCGCCTGCTGCTCTCCTTCCGCCCCTCCTCTCCCATCAGAGAACAGTTTTAACCGTGCAAGCAGTTTGTCTGTTGGTGCCGAGGATCGGGCCGTGATTTCTTTCCGTGGGATTTAGAGCCCGCTGCTCTAGCTGGCCACCTGCCCAGAGCCAGCCACGATGCTGTTCACTGTCTGCCTCGGGCTTGCTTTGCGCTGGACCCGGCTTGGAGAGCTTAGTTAGGCCCCTGTAGTCCCGATTGGCTTCATTAACGGTTTAGTGCAGGACTCCTCCCTATGATTGCTAGAATGCATAATTGGGCTGGATGGTTTTTGTTAAATCTCGAATTCCTGGAAACTAGCACCCCGCCTCCCAGCCCTAACACACATACCACCGGAGAGGGGTCACAGTTTCAGTATTTACACACTCTTGAGTGGGTCACGTGGAGTGGGGTCTGTAGGGCCTAACCTTCCTGGGACAGCTTTGTGGAATAGACCACAGTTTGGAAACTGAGGAATGAGCTCTATTATGTCATTGCTGGACAAGTTTTTTTTTTTTTTTTTTTATGACTAAAGTACTGATCCAGCTTTTATTTTTGCCGAACAAGACTGGTTACAAGTAAATATGTAGAATGAAATGCTGATGTGTTATCTAGGAACAGTGTTATTTTATAGCATAGGTGAAGAAAACATTTGATTAAAAAAGTGAGTTTTCCACCAAGATTTGGATATTTTCTGCATTTGTGTGATTTTGTTAATGTTATTTGTCAGAGGTCAGAGTATCTGTTTTTTGATCTATACATTTTCTTGGTCTTGGTCTGAAGTGTTCACAGGTAAAAATACTGGAACAATGCCCTTATTACTCAAATATCAGTAAGAGCTGTGTATGGTGAAGTCCTTCAGATATTTCTGGTGTTTGGTGTCAGGGGGTCCAAGTCATTTTGAGCTAAATGAGAACAGTGTATTTTAAATTAAAACAAAAATGCTAACTTGTCTCATACATAATGGATATTTTTCTAGCAGACATGTTTCCTCAAATATTGATATTATATAATATTAGAGAACTCCTTGGGTCCCCTGAAAGAACCAGTGTTTTAGCTTTTTGAGAAAATAACTTGGGCATTGGATTCAGGGTTTGAAGTTATTTTTAGACTATTTATAAGATGAGATGCCAATTTAGAAAATAAACTCCTATTTGACATTTTTTTAAATTTCAGGCAGCATTTTCATTAACCAAACTTCTTGAGGCCACGTCTGCAGTATCAGCTCAAGTGGAGGAACTTGCCTTCAAGTGTACAGAAAATGCACGTTTCCTTAAAACTTGGCGGGACCTCTTGAAAGAAGGCTACGATTCTTTGAAACCTGACAACTAATTTGGCATGCTTAGTCGTTTAAGTAATGGCTGTGTAATAATTCATACTTTCTCATATATATTTGCACATGTACCACATGTATAGGATGATATTTTTCTAGCAGTTCTGTATTCTCAGAATGAAATTTTTCTTGCTTTTCTTGATTTTTGTGAAAGCATCATACTGATGTTATTTTTGGTGCTGGCCAGTATTTGTTTATCCTTATATACCTTCTGCCATCTAAACTTTCATAGAATCCTTTATTCCTTTATGAAAGTTAATTTCATCAGTAGGTAATAGTGCCACAGTGCTACCAGTAGCAAACTAGTTAGAACATTATTTGCTTTACAAGAAGATGCCAAGAATGGTGGAGTTTGAAGTTGAGCTTCATTTTATGGACCGAGCAAGGTAACTTTAACTAAGGTTGCCAGTGGTGGATCCAGTGACTGTGTCTTACTGACTTCTGTATCCCTAGCACCTAAGACAGTGTTACACAACATTCACTACATATTTCTTGAATAAAAGAATTGACAAACATAATTAAAAGCTATTTTTAACATGAAGATTGTAATTGTTTCTCTAAAAATAAATGAATTAGAACTTCATTGACTTGAAGGAAAACATTCTCTTTTTTATGGGGATTTGAACTTTGATGATAGCTTTTTAAATAAATGATAAGTGTTTTTTGCCCTTCTATGATATTTTTTTTAAGAAAGACTTTACTTCAGAAAATGCAAGCCTGTTATTGTTCCCTGTTTATTTCTATATTTTTTTCCCTATTTATTTCTGTAGTTAGCTGCTTTTATGGTGAATATTTCTTGTATTTGCTATTTTTATATGTTTGGTTGCTGTCCTTTACCATGCCTTATCAAATGTATGTGTCTATGCTATTACTTTTAGAGCTTTGCAAATTGTTTATGTAGTAATTCTGGAGAAATTACTTTGTTTCCAATACATCAAATTTTAATGATTTGATTGTTTTTGTATTATTTGACCTCAGTGACAGTGTTCTATTTTACTTACCCTGTATTTTATGTTATTTTTTGGTGGTTTGTGTCATGTGTTAACTATTAGGCCAACTATTTCTCTACTGTATATCACTTCTGGACATCTTTGATATAGCATTTTAATTCTTTGTAGATATGGAGATGTACAGAACTATATTCTAAAGCCCCACAATGGGGCTATGAAAGGGGACAAATGGATGGGCACAGAATAGTTTTATTTAGCATGTTAGATCACAGTCTTTGATTAATTTTTTTTAAAGATCACACATATGGTGTGATTTCTATATCAAAGAGATGCTTATTTCAATATTAGAAAAATATTTTTCTTATATGTCCTGAAAGTTGCAATTTTTTAAATGTGCTAAAATAAACTCTTTTAAAAGCAAATTTTATTTCCATTTATTTGGGTTCATTATTTTAAAGCTTTTTATTGGTATATTTCGAACATACAGGAAAGGTGAATGATTTAAAGAACACCCATGTATTCACCATGCGGATTTAATAAATGTTAGTATTTGGCTATATTTTTTAAAAACATATATATATATATATATATATACTTAAATGTAAATATTAGGTACATTTGAAGCTTGCTTTGTTAGCTCTTTGATCTTATTCCTTCCCTCCCTCCCCAGAGGTAAACCGCTGTCCTAGAGGTGGTATAAATTCTGGTTTGTGTTTTTATATTTTTAATACATATGTATGTTTTCAAAGCACTACATAATATTGTCTTATGTATGTAGTAGCCAGCCTCCTGATGGTCCCAGTGGTCCCCTGCCTCCTGGTATTCATGTCCCTGTTTAGCCTTCTCTCACATTATATAGTGCTGACTTGTATAACCGCCAGAATATTGAGGAAATGCAGTGTGATTCTCGAGGGCATATCTCTTGCCTACTTTTCTGCTTTATATTTTCCTTGTCAATTTGTAGATATTACATATTTTGAATACTGACTAATGATGTTATGTATCTATCAACTCTCTTTTTTGTAGTCTGGTTTGTCTTTGTATTTTGATTATGGAGTCTCCTTGAATAAAGGTTTTAAATTTTAATGTAATCTTACCAATCTTTCATAATGGTTTGTTCTTTCTGCATTTTCTATAGGAAGTACCATAAAGACATGGTCCTATATGACCTTCCAAAAGTTTAAAAATTTTTGTTTTTAATCCAACTGAAATTTGTTTTTGCTTGAGATGTGACTTTGGGATCTTGTTTTGTTTGCTTTTACATGTATATAGCTGTTCCTCCAAGTACCAGTGTTCCAAATGCTACATCTGTCATTCGGTTCTCATATAAGTGCCAGGTTCTGAGCTCTCTCTTCATTCCATTCTTTTGATCTGAAGGAAACCGGAACATGCCACCTCAAAATATGCCGATTTGGCATAGTAATTATTTCAAACTGAAGATATTTGAGAAACAAGTTGCAGAAGTTCTATCTGAACTGCCCTTTTGTACATGTAGCAACCATGAACATTTCTTTGAGAAAGATGACTTCCCTGTACTCATGAGAGAAGATAATTAGCTCTGAGACAGCACCAGAAGAATCTACAAACAAATCTGACTCGATTAATTTCTTCCCATGTATTTACCTTTCTATGGTTTTCCACCTCTGGAAGCCTTTGTCCTGTCACTTCTCTAAAATATTCTTTGTCAAAGATGCTGTATAAGCCAGAGTTCCCTTTCACTGAGGTTTTCCCTAATGGGATGCTCACTGTGCATGTTAAGAAACTTGCTTGTTTTTCTTTTGTTAATCTGTCCTTTGTTACAGGGGTTTGTTCCAACTACAAATTTATGAGGGTTGAGAAGAAATTATATTTTCTCCCTTACAGATCTATTTGCTTAACCCCATGGTAAGACGCCCTGCAAGTTTCCCTGTTTTAGCTGTATTATAAGTGTGTACTTTTTATAAGTAGTACTTTTTATGGTATGTGACTTTCTCTTTTTTTCCCCCTCCAATGTATTTTTTTTTAAGTTATAAAAGAAAAGAACAACGTTATCGATTTCTAATTCTACCAAGTTGCGGACAGCTTAGGACAACCTCTCAGGTAGTGAGCTTTCTGTGGGTGCTTTTAGTTTATTCTTCAGCACCGAAATTCACAGCTGCTAGTATCTGGAGTCTGGAAGACTCACAGCTCAGCTTACTTATAGCTTGTGTTACCGTGTGTGGTCCATGGAGTTTGTCTTATTTTTAAGAGTGGCTTTAAAAAAATGATCCCTTTTTATATTTATTTTTGCTCTGCTTCGTGGGAGAGGTTGGGGAGAGCTCAAAGCATAAACATTTTCTTAAAGACTTCAGAATTTTTTCTTAGCTCAGCAGCTCTATTCAAACTTTGGAGGAAAACTAAGTATTCTGAATAATGTAAATTTTTAAAAGCTTCAAGAGACTGAAGTCAATAAGATTAAATTTTTAACATTAAATATAATGTGTTTAGTTTCAAAAAATCTGAGTATGAAATATGTGCCAGGTAATATGTTAGGAACTTTATAAATATTATTTTATGTTACTGATATTATTGAGGAAAGTGATATTATTTCTGTTTACAGAATAGAAAACAGACTGAGATAAAAGTAATTTGCTTGTGGGTTTCTGACACCAAAATTGGTGTGCTTTTCTATACACTTAGCCACCTAGCTGTTGGTTAGACTTACTAATATTCAGGTTTATCATTTACACTCCCCATCTGTAATGGTTAATTTTTATGTGTCAACTTGACTGGCCCACAGGTACCCAGAAAATTATTCAAACATTATTCTGTGTTTTTCAGTGAGGATGTTTTTGGATGAGACTAACATTTAAATTGGTAGACTGAGTAAAGCACATTTCCCTCCATAACGTGGGCGGCCTCATCCAATCAGTTCAAGGCCTGAGAAGAACAGCAGCTGACCCTCCTCTGAGCAAGAGAGAATTCTGCCTGATGGCCTTTGAATATCACCTCTTCCTGCCCGATAGCCTTTGAAGTGGGACATTAGCCCTTCCTGGTTCTACACTTGGGCTTGAACTGGGATATTGGCTCTGCAGATTTTTAGACATGCCAGCCTTTATAATTGTGTAAGCTAGTTCCTTAATCTTTGGAGAAACCAGAGTAATTAATACACCATTCAAAAATGGAATATTTGTTCTAGTAACTGTATAACTTTCTAATTTTTCCCTGAGATTACTTTTGTTGAAAGCCCAAAAAGCCTATAGAGATCACCTGACCAAATTAGAACTGGCGGTACAGAAACTTGTTAGAATGTTATTGCAAATATTCTAATGACACATGATACTGGCCTAAACTAGGTATTGAGAATTGGGATGACGAGGAGTGGATGGATTTAAGAGATGTTTATGAGGTAGAATCAAGGGAGGACTAGGTGATTTGATATGTTGGGTAATGGAGAGGGAAGAGTCAAGGATGACTCCCAGATTTCTAGCTTGGGCCATTGGGTGCCACTCACCAAAACAAGGTCTAGGGGAGAAGAATCAGGTGTCCAGAGTCCAGATCCATACATAATAATGACATTAAGGAGCTAGTGAGATACCCAAGTGGAAATGTCTAGTTGGCAGTTGTATACTTAAGTGACCAATTTAGGGGAGAGAACAGGTTAAAGGCAAGAATATGGGAATCATCAGCATATACATTCTAATTGAAGCCTTGGAAATGAATGAGATTTCCATAGTCTGTAGGTAGGAAAAAGGCTTAAAACCATGAGAGCAAATGACGCTTGTAGTGAAAGATTTTTTCAAAAAGAAGAGCAACTGAGTAAAAATTAAATAACTGTATTTTTGAGGTCTCTTATTTAAAGTGGGTCAGTTCATTTCGTTCAAGTATCACCTCACTAGTTTGTCAAGTAAAATGCGTGGACTTCACAATTCCAGCTGCATATTTCCCCTTCACCTTTATTCTTTGCCTTCAACTTCATCGGTGTCTAAATTGCTTTGGTTTATGCAGTTATTACTTTGGGAGAGATTATGTATTAGCATGATGTCTTAGGGGTTCTTAAATTTAAAATGAAAAGTTGGGGTTTTCCTGATAATAAATTTTTAAATTTTAAAGCAACTTTGGCTGTTTTGACTTAGAAGATTAATTTGACCTGGAGCATGGTCCATGAATTTTGGAACAAAGTTATATTTTTAAGAGAGAAAATCTTGACTTGTATCTGGGTTAACTTAGTGCTTGTGTTGCATTTTGTATGGAAGTTAGTAGGAGCTAATTATGTGGTATATTATTAATTAATTAATTAATTAATTAATTAAGGAGTTGTGAAAGGGTGGGAGAGTGACTGAGTAGACAGGAAGCCAGGTGACTTCTAGAAAATAATTTAAAAATATTTTAAAAACTAAAGAAAGATATTTATTTTGTAAATTTACTGCATCTCTAAGAGCCTTAAACAGGTCAGGATCATGCTTTTTGTAGAAGTAAATTTTTTCCATCCCATCTTTATGATTATAGCTTTTATTCTTTTTTAGATATCCTTTTTAAGAAAAATATTTTCCTATTCTATTACTTAATATTAGTAATAAATCTTTTAAATAATAAATAATCCTAAAATTTTCTCATAAAAGAATTTAAATGTTTTCATTTTTTGAAAGCTTTTTTATTATCTATTTTTTGCAGGCTCTTTAAAAGAAAAAAATTAGGCTATTTTATATAACTAGTTATATGATTCAATATTATAAGCAGAACTATAGCTTTCTGTATGTTCTGATTTTTGTTGAAAGTGTACCATATTCTTCATGTAGAAAAAAAACGTTACTGGGATATTTCCAAGTAAGAACAGAAAGAACCCAAAGCAATCCATGTTTTTAATAGAATGAAATTTCAGGTCACTTATTTTCAAAATAAGTCTGTACAATTATATACTCAATAATGGCATTATGTTTTTGGTCCAAGTATTTTCATACATTTTTGGTGTATTTAAAACTACCCGAAAACATTTTTTTCCTGTTTAAAGATTTCAACCTTATGAAAGCAAAAAATTCCAACAGCTCATTTATAGACCAGAGAAGAACGACTAGCTAAAAAGTATCTTATGAACTGGCCATGCAAACAGAAGGTAAAGCCATCTCTTGATAACAGTATTTTCTCCTTAGACTGAAACATGTACATGTAAACCTTTCCTTCCTAAAAGTTAAGTTTCCGAATCAGTGCATTCTAGCTCTTCTTGCTTTTTTCTTCCCTTCTAACTGCCTTATTGAGATATTTCACATACCATAAAATTCACCCATCTAAAGTGTACAAGTCAATGGCTTTTAGTATAACTGCATAATTGTTTATCCTTTACCACAGACAACTTCAGAACATTTTCTTTGGGTCCAGAAAGACACCCTGTATTTCTTGGCTGTCACCCTATGGACCTTCCCAGCCACCCTCACTCCAGTAATCTCTAATCTACTTTTTGTCTCTATGAATTTGCTTATTCTAGATTTTTCATGTAAGTGGAATCATACAGTATTTGTCCTTTAATGTCTGGCTTATATTACATCCTTCATGTGTTGTAGCAAGTATGAGAGCCTCATTACTTTCAATAGCTGAATGATATTCCATCGTATGTATATATACCACATTTTGTTTATCCATTCATCATCAGTTGATGGGCACTTGGGTTGTCTTCATCTTTTGGGTATTGTGAATAATGCTGCAGTGAATATTTGCATACAAGTATTTTTTTTGAGTACTGGTTTGAATTCTTTTGGGTTTGTATCTAGGAGTAAAATTTCTGGGTCATATGATAATTCTGTTTTTTTTATTTTTCCTTTTTTTGTCTTTTTTCATGTCCGGCAATGGATCGCAACCCTCAGTGTCGCGCCTGTACCGGACCGGGACCGGCAACGGGATCGCAACCCTCGGCACTGCACCCGCACCTTGCTCAGCCAGTGAGCGGGAACCGGTCTGTATGTGGGATCCGAACCCTCAGCGGGAGCGCCGCCGCGCTCCCAAGTGGCGCACTATAGCAGTGTGCCACCGGGCCGGCCCAGATAATTCTGTTTTTAACTGACAAACTTTTCCACGGCAGCTGCACCATGTTCCATTCCCATCAGCAATATGCAAGGGTTTCAATTGCTACATATTCTGTCCAACATTTGTTATTTTCTGTTCTTTATTTATTTTTTGATAACAGCCTTAGTAGTAGGTGAGAAGTGTTATCTCATTGTGGTTTTAATTTGCATTTCCCTAATGTTTAGTGATGTTGAGCATCTTGTCATGTGCTTTTTGGCCATCTGTATATCCTTTTTGGAGAAATGTCCTTTGCCCACTTTTTAATTGGGTTGTTATTTTGTTGAGTTGTACGAATTCTTTATTAGTCAAGATATTAAGCCCTTCTCAAATATTTTTTTGCAAATATTTTCTTCCATCCTGTGGGTTGTCCTTTCACTTTCTTGACAACATCCTTTGAATGTACAAAAGTTCTTAATTTAGATGAACTCCAATTTATCTATTTTTTTCTTTGGTTTGTCATGCTTTTGTTGTTATATCTAAGAATCTGTTGCTAAATTTAAGGTTTTGGAGATTTACCTCTGTTTTCTTCTAAGAGTTTTATAGTTTTAGCTCTTATATTTCGATTGTTGATTCATTTTTGAGTTAATTTTTGTAAGTCGAGTGAAGAGGCCAACTTTATTCTTTTGCATATGAATATCCAGTTGTCCCAGCATCTTTTGTTGAAAATACTATTCTTTCTTATGATTGTCTTGGTACCCTTGTTGAAAATCAATTGACTGAAAATTTGAGGGTTTATTTCTGTACTTTCAATTCTGTTCCATTGATCTAAATGTTTACCCTCATTCAGGCTTTTCTGATTTACTCCTCTGCAATACTCCCATTCTCCTATTCCAATCTCATATGATGGTGCTCATTTAAAGCAACAAGAAAACTGGGAGAGAAGTGACAGAGAAGTGCTGTTTTTGAGTTTATAGCAAAACATCTTTTTTTCATAGTAATAAATATGTTGTATTGGCTCTCAAGTGTATGCAGACTTGAATGAAGAGAGAAAAGATGGATTCTTAAAACAGAATATCTATATTTCGCAGTCAGACATTTTCTCTGATGCTGTTTATACTGAATACTTCAAAACCTTAAACCTGTATTAAAAGTGCCTATGATTCTTATGTTTGCTAGCATGCATGATAGGTAAAGCTCTACTTTAACCTAGAAGCTGCAGATGGACTTTGTCTTTGTAGTTAAACACAATTTACAGATTAGAAAGGTTTTCTACTGTCTACTTCCAGGAATTTAACTCAGTGCTATGTGCATAGTGGGTACTCAGTAAATGCATGTTAGGAGATTTCTCTTAACTTCCTATGCAAAATATGTACTAAAATGTACACCTTATTGATGTAATTACTTCCCTTTATATGAACATTAGTCACTTAGTTTTCGTCATGTCCTTATAAGCTAATTTATCTTAGCCATTATTATAAATTATCTATTTTGTGGTATTCATTTCACACCAGTAAATCCCTCCTGAAGCACCCCACAGTATTCCCTGCGAAGAAATGGGTTTCAGCATCAGTTATGAATAAGAATTGAGTCTAGATGATTGAGAAATTAGTGACATTTCACAGGGGTCTGTGAAAACATCCGGTTTCATTAACTCAAGTGACATTTCCTGCGGTGGCCACATTTCTGCCCAGGTGAACGATGGAGCATATGTTTTTTGACTTCCTTTGCTATCAATAGATCTTCTTTGTCTATGTTCATACCAAAACTGATGGATCATTTCTTTGAATGGTCTTGTGGTCAGAGTATAGAGAATTGGGTTCAAAGCACTGTTAATAGGCAGAATAAAAATCACTACCCAAGAGGTTATGGTGCCTGGAAGAGAAAAATGAGATTGTTTTACCATTTATAGATGTTTACATGGTATAGAAACCCCCTTCCCTTGTTTCTTCAACCCCAGTCCCCTCTTGAGTCTTATTCTTTTCCTTTGATGTCATATAATTAAATAACAAGTCTGTATGTGTTTCCAGAATGTCTTTCCAGAGTACCAGTGTTTGAAGGGAGTGCTGGTGCTACAAAAGAACAGGATTCTTTGCTAAATAGTTTTTCTAGAATACATCAAAAAAATATTTAATTAGGTAGAAATGTTTTCTGCAAAGTGATTACATATTATTATTCCATTTAGGAGAAACTTTATGGTTTAGTATTTAAATCATAGCTTTAAAAATGTTTTAATTACTAGATAGTGCATATAGTATTTCTCAGAATAAGTAGACTTATCTTTAAAAGATTTCTTTTCTGTTTTTTATTTGATTTTAAAAATAAGTATGCATTTTTAGGCTTTTGGCCGTATATTTACTTCAACAAAAACATCTTTGGCTAACCCTATCTTAAAAATCAGCCTAGTATATATGCAACTACCAAATACTCAGATTTTTATTATAATTTAATAGATGCTATCACGCTTTATGTAAATAAAATGTAAGATATTATCACCATCATCCATGGGATAAAACACAATTAAAATTATGTATTTATAAATTTTAAAAAAGTGTATATTACTACATTATATATATAATTAACAGGATATTTGCACTTTTTTGTTGTGGTAAAATATACGTAACAAAATTTACCATTTTAACCATTTTTAAGTATATAGTATGTTCACATTGTTGTGCAACCATCACCATAATCCATCTCCAGAACTTTTTTGTTTTCCCAAACTAAAACCCTATACCTATGAAATAATGATTTCACTTTCTCCACTCCCCCAACTCCTGGCACCTACCATTCTATGTCTGTCAATGAATTTGACTACCCCAGGAACCTCACATAAGTGGAACCATAAAATGTCTGTCCTTTTGTGTTTGACTCATTTCACTTAGCATAATGTCTTCAAGCTTCATTCATATTGTAGCATGTGTCAGAATCTCCTTTTATGACGCTAAATGATAATCTGTTGTGTGTGTATGCCACATTGTGTTTAATCATTTACACCTTCCGCAGACACTTGTGTCGCTTCGACCTTTTGGCTATTGTGAATGATGCTGTTATGAATATGGCAGTGCAAGTATCTGTTTGAGTCCCTGCTTTCAATTTTTTGGGGTATTTATCCAGAGGTGGAATTGCTGGATCATGTGGTAATTCTGTTTGATTTTTTGAGGAACTGCCATACTGTTTTCCACAGCAGGTGCACCATTTTACTTTCCCAGCAGCATGCACAGGGTTTCAGTTTCTCCATATCTTCACCAACACTTGCTATTTTCTGTGTTTCCTTTTCTTTTAAATGATCGCCACCCTAATGGATATAATGCATATTCTTTTTAAATACCAAGAGTGTTTTCTTCTGTTATCTCTCAACTCTGGGGTAATGTTCTCTAGGTTTTATGTATTCCAGGAAGAAACATTTCTTATGTTATGGTAAGAAAAAATGAAGTAATTGTTTGATAATCTTTTTGGCCTCTTTTCTTTTCTGGTCATCTTGAACATGTGATTATCAGAATTTCAACAAAGTATCTGATTTATTTTGATCCTTGTTCCTTTGTTCCAAAAGTAATCGTGTTATTAGACATTTATGAAGAGAACTGAAGAGCTTCCTCCTAATAAACATTTTATTGATGAACATATATAAAGTACATATAACCCTGACTTATAATTCTTGAAACCAGATAGTGTTAAGGATCTTAATTGTCTTTCTTAAAAGAACACTACACAAACAGATTTATTATTTCTTTACAGAAAAAAAAAGTTTTACCTGGTATTTCTACCTGAAGCAGTGAAAGAAATTTCAGTACAAAAATGGGGATCCAGCACAATGCATCAGTAAATACAATAAAGAAAAAACGTTTGGCAAGAATCATTTCTTTTTTAACTTGACTCCGTATTTCAGCCGTTGATATGGCACTTTGATGAACACTGTAAAACATGCTTCCATAGGAAAAAACTATGATGACAAATGCTGCCAAGTTGATACCTATGTGGAACACAAGGAGTATTATTAATGTATGTGAACATTCTTTCAAAACAAACAAATAATATTCCTTTATGTGTTCTTATTAAAGATACAAAGATAACATGTTTTCTTGTTCTTCATAAAGAATCATTAAGGTGCATAAAAATCATGAATTTTTTTGAGTTGAAGTATTGTTGAAGTAACGAAGAATGATGTGATGACATGTTTAATTTTACAATGGCATATTAAAATGAAATTATATGAATTCAGTAAATATCCTGGGCCTTTAAGCCAATTAGCATTAGCGTTTTTTTTTTTTTCATAATTCAGTTACCTTGTGCGGCACTTTGAGAATATTTATACATTATTTGTTTAGAATAGTTGCATGTTTATAATAAACTGGTAAATGTAAAAAAAACCCCAAAACCAAATAACAGTAGTATGTATTTAAGCCAAAGATGTGCATGACTACCCAATTGAATTTGAAAAGATAATAAATATCATTATGTCCATATTATATAGGCAAAGAGCCAAAATATATTTTGCTTAGTATTATTAGGGTGAATACATGAAATACAAGTGCTTAGTGTCTTTTGTTAAGCTGCATCGGATTGGAATTTATATTCTAAGGGGTAATTTGGATGAAAAAAATCTGTTGGGATTCTGATAGAATCTTCCCCCACCCTCCCTGAGAAAAACTGGTTAGAAGATCTGAAATAAAATTTTGTAAACATTGGAAGGCATAAAGAATTTCGTGTTGCAAGTTATACCAGCATTTGAATGAAAGGGCTTGTAATACAGAGTTTCTTACCAAGAAAAATTGCCACTGAATAAATCTGGGCTCCAGTACTTTCTTTATCTTCTGAATGAAGAGGGAAACATACTCCATTGGTGCCATAATAATTTTTGAAAAATTCCTTATTGCTCAATGGAATAAAAGCCACTATAAACCCAGTAATCCAAATGATAGTCAAAAATGTAATTGTTCTGCATTTTCTAGGTCTTAAATATCTAAAAGGATATACAATGCAGATGTATTTTTCCAGTGTCAGGAATGTTAAAAGTAAAACTGATACTTCTGTGGACAGAATGGCCAAAGATCCCACAAAGTGACAATGAGTACTGTCCATCCATAGCTGTGCATGCTTATTGTATTCTCCACGAAACTTTAGGTCAAAGGCGCCAATCAAAAATAAATATATACCCATTAGGCAGTCAGCACCTACAGGGGTCAGAAAATTTCACAGATTTAGAGAAATAAATAGGCATTATCAATAAGAAATAATATTTTTAATATTATAAAAAATTAGCCACATGTCTTCTGTCTCAGGGGGTGATAGAGTTTGGATGTGTACTGTTGGGATGGAATAATTGTATTTTGTATGTGAGAGTGACATGAATTTTGGGGGGCCAAGGGTGGAATGATGGAATTTAGATGTGTTGTCCCCTCCAAAACTCGTGGAAATTTGAGCCCCACTGTGGCAGTGTTGGAAACTGATTGAGTCATGGGAGTGGATCCCTCATGAAGGGATTCGTGCTCTCCCTGGGGGGGGGGGGGGGGGGGGGGGG